GTCCTAATGGATATCTAGGATTGGATTTCTCTAAAAACTTCCTCCATGCTATACCCAGCAACCAAACATGTTTGATGGAAAACCTTGAGATGTTAAATGTCAGTCACAACATTTTCACCGAGATTCTGGAGCCGATTTCCAACTCCTCAACTCTCCGGTACCTGGTTATGAGTAACAACAACATCTCAACAATCACACCAGATGCTTTCAATGGACTGCCTCAACTCGTACAACTGGATTTAAGCTTTAACCATCTGACTGTATTCCCCAAAAGTATAACCAGTCTATCAAACTTGGAAATACTCAATTTGGCAGGAAACTTGATTCTGACAGTCCCAGATGCTGGCCTGTCCTTGTGGCCATCTTTGTCAATGTTCCACTTTCATGGTAACCCACTTGTCTGTTCCTGTTCCAGTGCCTGGCTGAGAAACTATACCCTTACCACAGACCTAGCACAGTGTATTTACCCAGCAGAACTAAAAGGTAACTCGGTGACCTGTTTGGCAACCTTACCTTGTGATACAGATGTAAGTGTGTATACATTAAAGGAAACTATACAGGCGTGTTTCAGGAATGGACTGGTGCTCAGAAATCAGAACCAAAAGCTAAAATGGGATGTACTATCTGGTTATAACAAACTACACCACAATCGCTGGCCAATGTTAAAGTTTACAGCAAATGCAAACTGGAGGCAAACATTTCACTTACAAGTCAGGACACCTGGACACTTCCTCATGACAGTAATGATATAGATCTAGTGTGCCTGACATTATCAGATAAAAGATGGTTCAGTAACATCAGGGAATGTCTTGTCTTGGATCCAACTGAGATTCAACCTGCAATGTCAACACAGACCCAGCCTGTAGAGCAACGCAGTCTTTCAGCAGGATCTCAAACAACACACACTATCTACATTGGAGTGATTGTAGCTCTCACCATACTCCTGGTCATCACTTTGGGTACAGCACTTGTCATCTACATTGTACATAATAGATGTCAATCTGTACCTAGGAGTACTGTGCCAACTATATCGGGACAACAAAACATGACATATGAAAACGTCACAGAAGTCGAGACATCCTTCAGTAACAATCCTGTAGCTAACACAGAAAATAAACATTTCTATGATACTCTCCAACATTCAAATATATATCAAAACTAGTTATAATCTTTATACATTTCAAGAAAATTGACACAATTCTTCAATCTCATTCAATAACAAGTTTATAAATTTTCTGATCAACAATATTATGTCAACAAGAATCCTGTAAATTTATGTTAAACTCGCCAAAATAAATCAGTTAAAACATGTATTTTAATATATATATAAAAAAAAACATACATAACAATTTGGATATGTATGTATTAATTACATTTGAACAACCACTATTTCAGAGATTGGTGAAAAACTGACCTTGGAGATAAAGATTGGTTAAAAAAAATGGGCTGGGGAGACAAAAACAGGTAAAAAACTGGCTGGGGGGATAGTGATCAGTCAATAAGTGGACGGGGAGATAGAAACAGGTAAAAAACTGGCTGGGGGATAGTGATCAGTCAAAAAGTGGACGGGGAGATAGAAACAGGTAAAAAACTGGCTGGGGGGATAGTGATCAGTCAAAAAGTGGACGGGGAGATAGAAACAGGTAAAAAACTGGCTGGGGGATAGTGACCAGTCAATAAATGCACGGGGTGAAAAAAACAGGTTAAAAACTGGCTGGGGGAATACAGATTGGTCAAAAATCTTGGTGAGGGAATACAGATTAGTAAAACATATATATGTCCTCGTGCAATTCTTGGTAAGAATCAGTTTACTATATAAATATTGGACTGTTTTTGACAAGATAAATCATTATCATAGTTGCTGACTAATCTGCCCCTTGCAGGTCACTATCGCCATTCCATTAAGTGATCAACAAAGTCCTATCACACAATACCAGGTGTGTTGTGACCTTCATTTCTTCAATTCTACTAAACAAACCCTTGTGACCCACATCTAATTTTCTCAAAATTTTACTGTGCATATCTCTCAAACTGCATCAGTTGTTCCACAACCAATCAAAGGAGAAAATCTAGTTTACTACATACATATCGTATATAATGTACTGTGTGTAGTTTACTAGATATATATTGTATATAATTTACTGTAATTTACCAGATACATATCGTATATAATGTACTGTGTGTAGTTTACTAGATATATATTGTATATAATGTACTGTGTGTAGTTTACTAGATATATAATTGTATATAATGTACTGTGTGTAGTTTACTAAATATATATTGTATATAATTTACTGTGTGTAGTTAACTAGATATATATCGTATATAATTTACTGTGTGTAGTTAACTAGATATATATAGTATATAATTTACTGTGTGTAGTTTACTAGATATATATCGTATATAATTTACTGTGTGTAGTTTACTAGATATATATCATATATAATTTACTGTGTGTAATTTACTAGATACATATCGTATATAATTTACTGTGTGTAGTTTACTAGATACATAATTGTATACAATTTACTGTGTGTAGTTTACTAGATATACAATTGTATATAATTTACTGTGTGTAGTTAACTAGATATATATCGTATATAATTTACTGTGTTTAATTTACTAGATACATATCGTATATAATTTATTGTGTGTAATTTACTAGATACATATCGTAGATAATTTACTGTGTGTAGTTTACTTGATACATATCATATATAATTTACTGTGTGTAGTTTACTAGATATATATCGTATATAATTTACTGTGTGTAGTTAACTAGATATATATCGTATATAATTTACTGTGTGTAGTTAACTAGATATATATCATATATAATTTACTGTGTGTAATTTCCTAGATATATATCGTATATAATTTACTGTGTGTAGTTTACTAGATATATAACTGTACATAATTTACTGTGTGTAATTTACTAGATACATATCTTATATAATTTACTGTGTGTAGTTTACTAGATATATAACTGTACATAATTTACTGTGTGTAATTTACTAGATATATATCGTATATAATTTACTGTGTGTAGTTTACTAGATATATAACTGTACATAATTTACTGTGTGTAATTTACTAGATATATATCGTATATAATTTACTGTGTGTAGTTTACTAGATATATAACTGTACATAATTTACTGTGTGTAATTTACTAAATACATATTGTATGTATTTTACTTTGTAATTGTTTTACTGAATATAAACTTTATGCATTTGACCGTGTCTGTATACTTTATTATTTTTACTGTCTGAGAGAAAACAAGGTAAAGTGAAATTAAACTAATCCTAATTGCTTGATTGTCATTGATCAGATCAAGTAAACTTGTATCATCATGTAAAATTATGAGTGAAAGGAGTTGGTTGGAAATCAATTTTTACTGATATTAATAGAGACCTTGACATTTGACATTTTGATATGAAAAGCAATCTAAAGCACTCCCAATAAGAATGAGTGAAGTTGGAGTTTGATCCATAAGCCTCAACTATTGTCAGCAAATTGAGATGAGGATAGACAAATGAATGAAAGACTCATCGAATGGCAAACAGTGTGAATGCTGAGGTTCTAGTTAGTCAGTGACCTTGGAGCAATTGTGATGTCAAAAATTATCCAAAGTATATCCATGGGAAGTATAACTGAAATTTTATCCAGTTGCGTTGGTAATTAGGGTCACCAGAGAGATGACCTAGATCATTCACATATCATGCTTATAATTGGTTTGGTTTGTCTTAAACTGCTTAATATTCAATCAACATCCAGGATCATATAAGGACATCATCCCCGTGTATGCGAGAAGAGCGCATGTGTTGAATGTATGTGTTTTTGGGATAGTGATCGTAATAGTGCAGAACTGAACTGAAGCCAACTTTATAGTGCTACCACACTGAAGTAAACTGCAGATGGTTCCCATTTGGACATCCAACCTTGTCACATTACTTCAACAACAGGCAAACCAGTTGTTACACTACAACAATGCTGAACATTAAGCAGGAAGTAGTAACAACTATTTTTAAAGACTCTAGTAAGGCTCGTCCATAGGACTGAACCCAAAGCCTTTCTCACAGGGACGAGCACTCAACTAAAGGCCATAAGTGAGGAAGTGTTTTTTGGGAGACATAAGGAAGAAGAAAGATCTTTAGACACGAGGGCCATGGCCCTTAACGGTCATCTGACGATTGACATATAGACTGACAGAACACAGAATTTGCTGATGGTTGTCTAACAACTCTGATGAATTAAAATTCAGAACATTCTTTTAAAGTATCAGAAACTCATAAATAGTAGGTTCTGTTCATGAAAAACAGTTTCGTAATCATGTTACATAATGGCCACCGTGACTGCCATATTTTCATCACGCTGAAATATAACAACCTATCATGCTTCTTCACCTTGGCAAATTAAAACACTGCAAATATTTTCCTCATTGGTGCGGACGAAACTTGAGTAGTCGTAGATGAGTTATGATGGATTTTGGACCAACCAGAAAATATGATCAGGTCAGGACAATCCTAGAATAACTTCAGGCACGTTTGATACAATTGTAACAACCTAATAATGTCCAAAACCAAATTTGATTGAAATCCAAGGAATTAAGAAGGAGTAGCATTCTAAAGCCCTGCCCTTAAGTCTTCTATAATTCTCTGTTGCAAATCACTGTTAAACTGTAATAACGTTTAAATTTCAATGAAACTTGCAGTTCAAGTTACACAGCAAAAATTTAGTGAAAATTCCACGAATTCAACTTTTGCTTCATTTACCAATAACAGAACAATCAACAAGTTTAAACTAGAAAACAGCACTTCAGAGTTCAAAAACACATATCACCATTAAAAAAGTTAGAAAGAATCACTGGAAATGTATATATATATTTTTTTTTTATCAAAATTAATATTTTCTTCTAGTTCACAGGCAAAAATGTAATGACAATTTTATATCATCTGATGCAAAGTTATCTCAGGATGTAAGATGAAAGTATAAATACGTTTTGTGGTGTACAAAGTTCTGCTCCTGTTCAGTGAGACTGGCATTTAGGAAATCCTTCATGGGCATGGTGTTGCTGACCCACTCGATCAAACCAACCCTGTCAAGTAAACAAGAATCTCAGTTACTAATATTTAGCATGATAGCTGATGACTGTTTTAAGGTTACTAAGGGTTTACTATGTGTAAATACCTGGGGGTCATAGGGATTACTGTTTTAAGGTTACTAAGGGTTTACAATGTGTAATTACTTGGGGGTCATAGGGATGATTGTTTTAAGGTTTCTAAGGGTTTACAATGTGTAATTACCTGGGGTTCATAGGGATGGCTGTTTTAAGGTTACTAAGGGTTTACAATGTGTAAATACCTGGGGGTCATAGGGATGACTTGATATGTCTTGAGATGAAGTTTACGTTGTCGACAAGCAGGATCTCTCTCAAACACCTGGTTCATTAGGAAGAAGAGCTGTTCTATACGCTGGTCCTGTCTTAAGTCTTCACCTCCCTTTACAAGGTAGGGGTATTCCTTTTCATCATTACCACGGATCACAACACGCTTTGGTTTTCTTATTGATGACATCACTAACACCTGTAAATATATGTTTAGTCTTTATTGTCTATAAATATTTTTGCCATTCCATACTGACAGCAGTAAGGAAGTCAAAGACATTTATCATGAAACTCCGACTCTCTATTTGTAACTTCTTAAACTTCATCAATAACTTCTAGTTCTAAATTCATTACACCAATATCTAAGTCTTTCTGCTTTTGACAATTTTAAGCTATTCCTCAATAACATCTAGTTTTACATTAATGACTTGAATTCTTCAGTGTATAATCCTGTGAATTCATTGATTATCTTGAGCAGATCATTCATAACCTTGAGTTCACCATTAATGACCTTGAGTTTTCCATAAATAACCTCAACTTCTCCATTAATTACCTTGAGTTCTCAATTAATAACCATGAGTTCACCTCCAATTACCTTCAATTCTCCTTTAATAACCTTGAGTTCACCATTAATAACCTTGAGTTCACCATTAACCTTAGGTTCTCTGTTAATAACCTTGAGTTCACCACTAATAATCTTAGGTCCTCTGTTAATAACCTCGAGGTTTTTTTTAGAGTGACAAACCATTCCACACAGAAAAATCATATCATTGACTGGGAACATACAAAATATTTGACAGGGAAAATGTCTTTGACCAAGTATTAAACAAAGCAAAGCTAAATTGACTACAGTACATAGTTACCATCTGGTGTAATCTATTTACTATCTCATCATACTATTTTCAACCTTAGTGTATTTCAACCTTAGTGTACATAGGATTATAGTGCAGCCGAAAAGGTTGGTCAAAATCGTACCATCTGTCATACACTATGTACGCCAGTGCTAGTATGCTCTACACTGGCCATTTGTCTGATGAAGGTGATTGTGTAGTCATTGAAATGTCACACTCTAACCTTCTACTGGCTGTGTTACCTTGAGTTCACCATTAATAACCTTAAGTTGGTCATCATAAACATTTATTTTTTATCATTATGATCATCTTCACTTTCATGTAAATATAAGGCCCAAGGGGCCTGCATTGCTCACCTGACTAATGAAACTATTCAGTAGTTAAATAAAGAATTTCAAACATAACATTTAATTTCTTTTGTAATTTCTCTTTTGGGTCCAAACTTGTAGTTAAACAGAAGTCAAATTCATTATTCATTAAAATTGCTTCAGACCAAACTTGGACATAATTCTAAAGAATTTTAAAGAATCTGCTCTATTTTCCCTTTTGGGCCCCATCTCTTGGGCCCCTCATGTCTAGAAGCAAATTCTTAGAAAAAGTTGACGGACAGACAACAGTCGCTACACCATTGCATAGGTTCTTTGGTGAGCTCATAGGTGAACTAAAAAAGGGGTAAGGTATTAATTAAGAGTGATTATCATCATAATGATAATTAATCTGGTATATGAACATATCCTAGAAGGTAAAGAAAAAAGATCCGGCAATAAGTAATTACAAGAGATTTGTACAAATAGTACTTACCCTTTGGTCAAAGCCTGCAACCTTTACATGGTATTCAGGAAGAGGCTTTGTCAGGCCGGTATACTGACCTAGAGAAATAGCCAGATACATCAATATTTCAATTTCCAAACAAAACTAATATAAACACGAGGAAAAAATGTGTCATTAGCATAACTGTCAAAGTTTCTTCTTTTATTTTTTTTAATTTTTCATCAGAATCCACAAAAATCTTTCTAAACATTAAAAACAAAGTAGGGGCTCAAACAGTGAACGCCCCACTTCTTCATCTCTTACATCTCATCTAAAGAAAGATAACAACACAAAAAGTTGCCAGCAAAAAAAATCTGAATAAAAAAAAAGTGAATGGATCATAAATCTGAATTTTCTCGCTCACCCTGTTATCTAAACAATCAAAAGGAAAATAGTGTGACGAAAAGGAAATCTCAAATTAGATAGCAAAATTATATCTGTGATTTTATTTCACTGTCGTGTGTTACCTGGAATCTCCAAGTTATTGCCCTCTGTGTTGGGGTTAAAGTCCACCATCCACTTACAGTACTCCTTGAGTGATGCTGGAGGAATGAGTTTTGAGTTCTTTGGTACCCCTTTCACCTCCAGGTCCATATCTTCAGAAAGCTTGCGGAAAATCGCATAGAACTCCTTCATAAATAAAAAATTTCATTATTTTTGATAATTTTTAATTGCAATCATTTCAACATTGACTCATTTCACTAATCAATGCTTTTAAGACCAAATACCAACATTATTATATGTTAGAGACTATTTGACATCTCTTATCATAATACCAAGTCAATGCTAGTTGATTATTGTCTATAGTTGATACAGAGGTTCCTAAAACACTTGTGTTGTTATAAGACTATTACTCAATACTTACTTTTGTCTTCATACCCACAAGTTTCCTGCCACCTTCTCCAAAACATTTATCAATTTCCTTTTTGAATCTCTGAAAACCCAAAATTTATTTTTTGCTGGTTTAATATGAATATATTTGGAAAGGATAAATTTTGAACATTAATATTTGAAAAAAAAAAGAACTGAAAGTCAAAGCAGTAACCCAGTTCAACACTTATTACAGGTAAACACTATTATACCCTCTTTCTTTGTTGTTACAGGTAAACACTATTATACCCTCTTTCTTTGTTGTTACAGGTAAACACTATTATACCCTCTTTCTTTGTTGTTACAGGTAAACACTATTATACCCTCTTTCTTTGTTGTTACAGGTAAACACTATTATACCCTCTTTCTTTGTTGTTACAGGTAAACACTATTATACCCTCTTTCTTTGTTGTTACAGGTAAACACTATTATACCCTCTTTCTTTGTTGTTACAGGTAAACACTATTATACCCTCTTTCTTTGTTGTTACAGGTAAACACTATTATACCCTCTTTCTTTGTTGTTACAGGTATTTAATAACCACTTAATCAAAAGCACCATCAACTTCTAGGCACCTGAAAAGTTTATCTTTACTGCTAATTTCCTTTTTGAATCTCTGAAAACCAAACATTTTTAGCTTAGTCTAATAAGATTTACTGAAAAAATCTGATAATAGCCACGGCTATATCAAAATCAGTTATTAATTAAAATCAGTTATCAGTAACTGCTTACAGCTGAGAATTTTTTGAGGTACTGCCCCATCTCTATAATGGACTGTGAACTGGTCTGTGTGGATGACACATCATCACGGTAACTCAACATCACACTCTGGGATGGTTCAAGCACCTGTTGGTACATCTCCAGATACATTTCCTTTATTTTAACATTGTCTTGCTTCTTTTTCTTCAGCATCCTCAGCATGTCATGACCCCAGTCCTACAACAATCAACGCTCTGCTGCAGGAAAATATATCTATAGAAGGGTAACAGAACGGAGGCAATACCTATACAGAGAAACAATATGTACACAATGTACATTAATATCTTTTTTGCTGTTTTTTGGAGTTTATTTCCAAGCAGTTGATGTGATCTGTTTCCCAATCACTGACATTGACATACATGCATATGTTTGCGTTTCCCTGGGTACATTCCTAATGGCCAGGTGTTGCTGATTCTAATGAAGGGTATGCATATCTTCCCAATTTCTTATAAATATTCAATATTTGTGTATAATCAACAAAAAGCATACATATTTGAGTTTACCATTTCTGGAAGTTTGTACATGAAGACGAACAGTCACTTTATCTAAATTTTTTAACATTCATAAGTTTACCTGATTTAAAGCTCTACAGTTTATAGAAATTCATTTGACCTAAAAAATTTGTTAAAATGTTCCTAAACAATATTTTTCATTACTCTATATATTACCATGTCAGACCGACATGTCCATAGTTCCCCGTGTTTCTTCCCTGTGTATTATAACCCCAAAGATTACCATGTCAGACTGACAGGTCCATTGTTTAATGTGTTTGTTCTCTGTGTATTATAACCCCATAGATTACCACGTCAGACTGACAGGTCCATAGTTTCCTGTGTTTGTTCCCTGTGTATTATTACCCCATAGATTACCACATCAGACCGACAGGTCCAAAGTTTCCTGTGTTTGGTCTCTGTGTATTATTACCCCATAGATTACCACGTCAGACTGACTGGTCCAAAGTTTCCTGTGTTTGGTCTCTGTGTATTATAACCCCATAGATTACCATGTCAGACTGACTGGTCCATAGCTTCCTGTGTTTGTTAACTGTGTATTATAACCCCATAGATTACCATGTCAGACCGACATGTCCATAGTTCCCCGTGTTTGTTCCCTGTGTATTATAACCCCATAGATTACCACGTCAGACTGACAGGTCCATAGTTTCCTGTGTTTGGTCTCGGTGTATTATAACCCCATAGATTACCACATCAGACCGACAGGTCCAAAGTTTCCTGTGTTTGGTCTCGGTGTATTATAACCCCATAGATTACCACGTAAGACTGAGTGGTCCATAGATTCCTGTGTTTGTTAACTGTGTATTATAACCCCATAGATTACCACGTCAGACTGACAGGTCCATAGTTTCCTGTGTTTGTTCCCTGTGTATTATAACCCCATAGATTACCACGTCAGACTGACAGGTCCATAGTTTCCTGTGTTTTTGCCCTGTGTATTATAACCCCATAGATTAAGATGTCAGATCTACTGGTCCATAGTTTCATGGGTTTTTGCCCCATGTGGGATATGCCTAAAAAACAACATTTTTTATATCTCGTTCAACAGTGATACTTTGCTATATTGTTGAATTTTCACCAAATACAAAAAGGACGAACTTTAAAGCAGAGGTAAAAAAACTCCCAGTACACAGAAACTTTACAAGGAGGAACTTACAACAAGATAAAATCTATTGAAGGGAAACAATCTGTACAAGACAGAGAATATCAACAAAACAGACAATTTTTAGTACGACACTCACAACCAGACAGAACCTTGGGACAAAATATGAGAACTCTACCTGAAGAGAAAGATTATAAATTTGGCAATTTCAATATGATGTCAATGCTGTGAAAAAAGAAAGGATTTAACTGTTGCAACCCTTAGGTGAGACAAGTAAATTCTACATCAGTAAAAGTCCGAATACATCTGTCAAGGTAAGACAGGGAAATATCACACCAGTAAAGACCTGAATACAACTGTTCAGGTAAGACGGGGAAATATCACACCAGTAAAGGCCCAAATACACCTGTCCAGGTAAGACACGGAAATATCACACCAGTTAAGGCCCGAATACACCTATCCAGGTAAGACAGGGAAAAATCACACCAGTAAAGGCCTGAATACACCTGTCCAGGTAAGACAAGGAAATATCACACCAGTAAAGGCCTGAATACATCTGTCCAGGTAAGACAGGAAAAAATCACACCAGTAAAGACCTGAATACATCTGTCCAGGTAAGACAGGGAAATATCACACCAGTAAAGACCTGAATACACCTGTCCAGGTAAGATAGGGAAAAATCACACCAGTAAAGACCTGAATACATCTGTCCAGGTCAGACAGGGAAATATCACACCAGTAAAGACCTGAATACATCTGTCCAGGTAAGACACGGAAATATCACACCAGTAAAGACCTGAATACATCTGTCCAGGTCAGACAGGGAAATATCACACCAGTAAATGCCCGAATACACCTGTCCAGGTAAGACACGGAAATATCACACCAGTAAAGACCTGAATACATCTGTCCAGGTCAGACAGGGAAATATCACACCAGTAAAGGCCCGAATATACCTGTCCAGGTAAGACACGGAAATATCACACCAGTAAAGGCCCAAATACATCTGTCCAGGTAAGACAAGGAAATATCATTAAGAACACGTGTTACTACTACTAAAATTGAAAGTTGACCTAGATTATTCGTTTGATCAAGCTCAATGATCTATCATTCCAATTAGATCCCTTGGTCAATCAGAAAATAGTTATAAATAAGTTTCAATATATATCAACCATGGGCCTTGAAATTATGACTTACCTTGAATATTTGGTCTGGTTGTCCAAACTGTTCCAAGGCAGAAATGAATTTTGTTACCAAGGGGACATGCTCCTCATCCAGCAGGTTGGCCAGTCTGAAAAAAAAATAAAGAAATAGTACAATGTATCATTTGACCAGCTGGTTGGATGCTGAAACCAATGCATTCCATAGCTGTAGTATTGTGATTCCATTTGAACTGATAAAAGTTTAAATAACATTAACAAATTATAAATGTAACGTATCATTAACCTCCGACTAATTACTGTAAACCAGGACATTTTGGTTGTAGTTATATTTTGGTTTATTTGGCACCAGCTGGCATGAAAGCACCAAAATTAAACACATTAAATCATAATGTTGTCATATCAAAAAATACTAGATATTCCAGATGCACCAATTTGCAGCTCCATCATTAGGTAATGTGGTTTTATTTCGGTGATTACAGCAGAGAATCCTTCATGCATGACATGGCTACAGAAAATGTATTGTTGTGTCACTCTTCAAGAAAGATGTGATTTTAAAAATTTGTGACTATAATACTTTGTTTTGTTAAAGTTTTGTTTAGGATGTTGCTGGTATAAAGGTAAGATCACCTGGTATCATTTAATCAGTTACAACAAACAATGCTGGTTTGCTGACATCTGTACTAACTAGGTCAATTACTATGTGAATTACTAGTCATGTGAGAAGAGATCACTTATATACATTTCATACAAATGGGGTAGGTCTGTATTCCATTACCAGTACAGCTTCAAAGCTATCACTGTATTTTTTAAACCCAAAACTGCACATACCGTTTTTATTGAAGATTACTTTATTGACAAGTGGACAGCAGATCTGTGTAACAAGGAATGAGGTTATATGGGTTGGTGAATACCCCAAATTGTGACAAAGGATTGATGGAAATGCCATAATTTGACATTAATTTCATTGAATTTTTATTAGAATGTGTAAACATTTATACAGACTTAATGGTTATCTAAAGATGTCCTTAAGTGATCAACACAAGGACAATAATTAAGTCGGTGCTAACACACCCAGAAGAACCTGTTAACCTGTACTTGGAGGGCTTTTAGTCAACATAATGATATCAATCCTTAATACCATTCAAGGCAAAAGAGCACATGCAAGACTCTACCTTTTCCTAACTTTGATAATAGTGAATCACCTACCTTTCCACCACGGCTTTGTTCTTTTTATCATAAGGTTTGTTCCCGAATTGGAAACCTTCCTGACTGAGCTTGAAGTGGTATACAACAGCCTGTAAATCAACATATGACATGCTACAAAAACCTGTCTACAGACTGCCTGCTGTTTTGAAATTTCGAAAGAAAGCTGGTTCCATGTTTCTTGGGATGTATAACTGAAAGTTCTGTCTATGGTATTTGTTCTTGGTTAACAGAAAATTGTGGTTTGCAGCAGATTTTTATAAAAATTTACAATACTTTTAAAAGGCATCATCTCTGTATATGATGATTAACATTAATTGCCATATAAGAACACTTTTATGATAAATAGTTTCTCATCAAAAGGTTACCAGTCCAGAGAAATAGATATTCAACTCCTTTGACAGTGTTGTAAAATCTGCATTTGAAGTAGTTCTGGCAGCACTTTTTACTTTAAACAGTAGCTTACCTGAGGGTACAAAGTAGCTATTTTAAACAGCACTGGTTGTACAGCAGGAGCCTCTGGCTTGTCCATCAAGGCCATCATCTGACTGATCCACAATAAGTACATCCAGCTGGGCACCTCATCACACTGTCAAAACCAACCTTACTCATCAAATGCTACAGTGATTACCTCCCTTTAAAATTCTTCCTCAAGTCATCAAAATTAGTAACCTTCTACTATGTGTGTTACTGAGAATGATACATGTGTTTCATCAGAAAACTTCAAACCTTGAAATATCATGGTGGAGCCTTACACTAGTACAAACCTTGTCTATAAATGTGCCCATACAATCAGGGTAAAGTTCAATCAGCTGTAAAAGACGGGGAAATCTTTGTTTGGCCTCCATGGAGTCTAACCGCATGGCGTTGAGTAGACACACAACTACGGTATCAGGAAATGTTTTGGTTGTTGATTTACTCAAGTCCAAGTCATCTGACAAAACAGATACAGGAATTCAAATAAGAATTCTTGAACTGAACTGAAAATAGTTTTCATTGGAGAAAAGATTCAAACTAATGTGAAACTGACAGCAAACTGTTTATTTCACAACTGATCTAGATAGGGGAAGTTTACCTACAACAAGACATGACGAGAGCCTTCAATAATAGTGTTGCATGTGTAATTCACGATGATTTAAGAATATTCTTTATTACCTGTCTTACCATACATGAATTAGAAATTAACATACCATCTTCGGTCATTCTCAGCATCTTGTCACAGAATTTGGCCACTGCCATCAAAGCCATGTCTTTGGTGAACCCATTCCGTGGGGAATGTCCACCGTCCTCATAGTGTAGCGACTTCTTCATGTTCTCAAAGCCACGTTTAACCAGGCTTTCTATCAGCTGTAGAAATTATCAAACAGATTCCCGGAAGACGTGAACCAATCGTTTTCTATCAGATGTGTAATTATCAAACTGATTCTCAGAAGACATGAACCAATCGTTCTCGATCAGATGAAGAAATTATCAAACTGATTCTCAGAAGTCAGATTCTCCGCAGTCATGTACAAAGTACAAATATGTGACCTACCATAGACCCAGGCTGGAGGAAATGTTCTAACTATGCCATTAAGAAAGTAGTTCCTAATTCTGCATATAAACACTCTACCTATTAGTTAAACATATATGTCATTTATTTTTCAATTTACCTCTGTCTCTTCCATTTTGCTGACTCCTGTAATATCTTTTAATCTCTCTCTGTTCCTGTCACCAAGACAGCCCAAGCCACTTATTGATCGCACACCATCTACCAACAGCTCGTGTGTCTGCCCTAGCAACACAAAATGAAGACGACCAAATGCTGGAATCTCCTCAAGGACATCACTCTTGCTGTTTTTACCTGAAACAGAAAAGTAGCAGATAAATGTATGGGTGTCTTTTGCTCAGGACTTAACAGGCTGATCTTCTGTTGAATTGATACAAGTAAAGGTGTTTTATGCCCTGGATTTAAACAACAACTCCTCTTTGATATGATAAAAGTAAGAGTGTCATATGCTCAGAACTTCAAGGTCACTCTAGTAAGGGTGTTTTCTGCTCATAACCTAATAGGGGATCTGTTGCTCAAAAGTTAGCTAAAGTTAACCACTGGTTAGTGAAAAATTGAAATTGCTGACAGTGAACAACAACAGTGTTAAATGTAAAATTAACACATAAAATATAAGATTCTGACTTGTCTCAACAAAACTACTGCTATGTAATGGAAAAGAATGTTTCCAATTTTGTTAAACTCATGTTAGACACTGGTTATCTATAACCAGCCATTGACCAACTGGGGCCAGACCAATGTGGGAGTGATACAGGTAAAGGTGTCTTTCATTGAAGACTTAACACACATCCTCTGTAGGGGCAGTATAGGTAAGGATATCATCAGCTCAGGACTTAACACACACAGATCTTCTGTAGGGGCAGTATAGGTAAGGATATCATCAGCTCAAGACTTAACACACAGATCTTCTGTAGGAGCAGTATAGGTAAGGATATCATCAGCTCAGGACTTAACACACACAGATCTTCTGTAGGGGCAGTATAGGTAAGGATATCATCAGCTCAGGACTTAACACACACAGATCTTCTGTAGGGGCAGTATAGGTAAGGGTGTCATCAGCTCAGGACTCAACACACACAGATCCTCTGTAGGGGCAGTATAGGTAAGGATGTCATCAGCTCAGGACTTAACACACACAGATCCTCTGTAGGGGCAGTATGGGTAAGGATATCATCAGCTCAGGACTTAACACACAGATCTTCTGTATTGGGGTGACACAAGTAAGGGTGCCTTTTGTTCAAGACTTAAAACACTGATCTTCTGTATTGGGGCGACACAAGTAAGGGTGCCTTTTGTTCAAGACTAATAACACTGATCTTCTGTATTGGGGCGACACAACTAAGGGTAGCTTTTGTTCAAGACTTAACACACACAAATCCTCTGAGAAGGGAGGATAGGGTAGTGATAACAGTGTGTCACAGAGAACACAATTGGTGTCATACCTGTAAGGGTACAATCGGCTCAGGGCTAAACCCACAGATCCGCTGTATGTGTGATACAAGTAAGGGTGTTGTATGCTCAGGACTGGTCAATATCAACGAGATTACAGTTAAACCAGCACTGTACTTACCTAGCAGATCTACAGTGGAGGCAATGCTGGTAAAAGTGTCGTCTGCCCAGCTTGACTGAGCGCTATGTGCCTTTTTGTGATGAGTACTGGTATATAGATGTCCCCAGCTTATCCAGAGTCCAGCATTCCCACTACCCTTACATTGCTGTAACAAATACCATCTTAATAGAGTGTCTCACAAATTACATCACTTTTCTAGGTTGATGAAGAGGAATTTTTATTGTTGTCATGACGACCTCACTTGGAAATACCCCATATGTGTCAGATGTTCATTAGTGTTCCTGGTGGTTTGTTATTGTTTATCTTAATTCTCATGAGAGATTAACAAAAATATACAAGGCGGCTGTCATCGATTTCAGGAACACCTGGTATTTTTTATTTCTCCTTGTACTATTTCAGGAGTATATGAGTAAATTTTTCTTCAGTTTACAATATGCACTAGTTTCAACAAAAGGAAAATAAAAAGAGGTGGAGGAGTCCAACATCCTGTGAGTGGTAGTAGTTGGTAGATGTGTCGGTAGAAGAATCCTAGGTGGATCGGAAGGATTTTAGCAGTGCTCCAGAGTGGTTAGTTTCATAGAACTGGAGTTTGAATTCACTTATGTTGACATGCTGGTATTTATTGTTTTTTTATCTATGGTCCCCGCTGAATAACAAGACAATCATATGATAAAAATTATCAGGCATAATTACATTATAGTCTTACCCTACTGTCTTACTTAAGCATTATAAGCATGCCTATCAACTCTCCAGTTTTCAAATGTAGGAGAAATATATGGCTAAATTTAACATTATAAAGTAATATACTATATTCAAACTCTTTATTTGATATACGACAAAATAGTGATGCTATATCTCTTATCAGAACCGAATGCACTAATTTCACATCAGTATGAGGATGCTAGGTTCTGGAAATACAAATGTACAAATCAATAATGGAGATCATGGAGCTTCCCACACAAATACTGAGGGCTTACAGGTATGTAGACGTAGTAAAAGTGTTATGATCTAGAGTGGAGATCATGGAGACTGCCACACAAATATTGAGGGCTTACAGGTATGTATGTAGTAAAAGTGTTATGATCTAGAGTGGAGATCATGGAGATTCCCACACAAATACTGAGGGCTTACAGGTATGTAGACGTAGTAAAAGTGTTATGATCTAGAGTGGAGATCATGGAGACTGCCACACAAATATTGAGGGCTTACAGGTATGTAGACGTAGTAAAAGTGTTATGATCTAGAGTGGAGATCATGGAGATTCCCACACAAATACTGAGGGCTTACAGGTATGTAGACGTAGTAAAAGTGTTATGATCTAGAGTGGAGATCATGGAGATTCCCACACAAATATTGAGGGCTTACAGGTATGTAGACGTAGTAAAAGTGTTATGATCTAGAGTGGAGATCATGGAGACTGCCACACAAATATTGAGAGCTTACAGGTATGTAGACGTAGTAAAAGTGTTATGATCTAGAGTGGAGATCATGGAGATTCCCACACAAATATTGAGGGCTTACAGGTATGTAGACGTAGTAAAAGTGTTATGATCTAGAGTGGAGATCATGGAGATTCCCGCACAAATATTGAGGGCTTACAGGTATGTAGACGTAGTAAAAGTGTTATGATCTAGAGTGGAGATCATGGAGATTCCCACACAAATATTGAGGGCTTACAGGTATGTAGACGTAGTAAAAGTGTTATGATCTAGAGTGGAGATCATGGAGATTCCCACACAAATATTGAGGGCTTACAGGTATGTAGACGTAGTAAAAGTGTTATGATCTAGAGTGGAGATCATGGAGATTCCCACACAAATATTGAGGGCTTACAGGTATGTAGACGTAGTAAAAGTGTTATGATCTAGAGTGGAGATCATGGAGATTCCCGCACAAATATTGAGGGCTTACAGGTATGTAGACGTAGTAAAAGTGTTATGATCTAGAGTGGAGATCATGGAGATTCCCAGCACAAAGTGAGGGAAACAGGTATGTGATATAAAAGGTTAAAGAGAAATCAGTCACCAAATACAGGTATGTAGACGTATAAAAGTGATCTAGAGTGGAGATCATGGAGATTCCCACACAAATATTGAGGGCTTACAGGTATGTAGACGTAGTAAAAGTGTTATGAGAACAGCCCAGTCAACATTGATATGGAACGATTCCCACACAAATAGTGATCTACAGACTATGAGAACAGCCCAGTCAAAAGTGTTATGATCTAGAGAGAATCAGTCACACTACAGACTATGAGAACAGCCCAGTCAACATTGATATGGAACGAGAAATCAGTCATCTACAGACTATGAGAACAGCCCAGTCAACATTGATATGGAACGAGAAATCAGTCACCTACAGACTATGAGAACAGCCCAGTCAACATTGATATGGAACGAGAAATCAGTCACCTACAGACTATGAGAACAGCCCAGTCAACATTGATATGGAACGAGAAATCAGTCACCTACAGACTATGAGAACAGCCCAGTCAACATTGATATGGAAAGAGAAATCAGTCACCTACAGACTATGAGAACAGCCCAGTCAACATTGATATGGAAAGAGAAATCAGTCACCTACAGACTATGAGAACAGCCCAGTCAACATTGATATGGAACGAGAAATCAGTCACCTACAGACTATGAGAACAGCCCAGTCAACATTGATATGGAACGAGAAATCAGTCACCTACAGACTATGAGAACAGCCAAGTCAACACTGACAAGGAAAAGGAAATCAGTCACCTACAGACTATGAGAACAGCCCAGTCAACATTGATATGGAAAGAGAAATCAGTCACCTACAGACTATGAGAACAGCCAAGTCAACACTGACAAGGAAAAGGAAATCAGTCACCTACAGACTATGAGAACAGCCCAGTCAACATTGATATGGAAAGAGAAATCAGTCACCTACAGACTATGAGAACAGCCAAGTCAACACTGACAAGGAAAAGGAAATCAGTCACCTACAGACTATGAGAACAGCCAAGTCAACATTGATATGGAAAGAGAAATCAGTCACCTACAGACTATGAGAACAGCCAAGTCAACACTGACAAGGAAAAGGAAATCAGTCACCTACAGACTATGAGAACAGCCAAGTCAACACTGACAAGGAAAAGGAAATCAGTCACCTACAGACTATGAGAACAGCCCAGTCAACATTGATATGGAAAGAGAAATCAGTCACCTACAGACTATGAGAACAGCCAAGTCAACACTGAAGGAAAAGGAAATCAGTCACCTACAGACTATGAGAACAGCCCAGTCAACATTGATATGGAAAGAGAAATCAGTCACCTACAGACTATGAGAACAGCCCAGACAACAATGATATGGAACGAGAAATCAGTCACCTACAGACTATGAGAACAGCCCAGTCAACATTGATATGGAAAGAGAAATCAGTCACCTACAGACTATGAGAACAGCCCAGTCAACATTGATATGGAAAGAGAAATCAGTCACCTACAGACTATGAGAACAGCCAAGTCAACATTGATATGGAAAGAGAAATCAGTCACCTACAGACTATGAGAACAGCCCAGTCAACATTGATATGGAAGAGAAATCAGTCACCTACAGACTATGAGAACAGCCCAGTCAACATTGATATGGAAAGAGAAATCAGTCACCTACAGACTATGAGAACAGCCCAGTCAACATTGATATGGAACGAGAAATCAGTCACCTACAGACTATGAGAACAGCCCAGTCAACATTGATATGGAACGAGAAATCAGTCACCTACAGACTATGAGAACAGCCTAGTCAACATTGATATGGAACGAGAAATCAGTCACCTACAGACTATGAGAACAGCCCAGTCAACATTGATATGGAAAGAGAAATCAGTCACCTACAGACTATGAGAACAGCCAAGTCAACATTGATATTGAAAACTAAAATCAGTCACCTACAGACTATGAGAACAGCCAAGTCAACATTGATATGGAAAGAGAAATCAGTCACCTACAGACTATGAGAACAGCCAAGTCAACATTGATATTGAAAGAGAAATCAGTCACCTACAGACTATGAGAACAGCCAAGTCAACATTGATATGGAAAGAGAAATCAGTCACCTACAGACTATGAGAACAGCCCAGTCAACATTGACAAGGAAAGAGAAATCAGTCACCTACAGACTATGAGAACAGCCAAGTCAACATTGATATGGAAAGAGAAATCAGTCACCTACAGACTATGAGAACAGCCAAGTCAACATTGACAAGGAAAGAGAAATCAGTCACCTACAGACTATGAGAACAGCCAAGTCAACACTGACAAGGAAAAGGAAATCAGTCACCTACAGACTATGAGAACAGCCAAGTCAACATTGATATGGAAAGAGAAATCAGTCACCTACAGACTATGAGAACAGCCAAGTCAACACTGACAAGGAAAAGGAAATCAGTCACCTACAGACTATGAGAACAGCCAAGTCAACATTGATATGGAAAGAGAAATCAGTCACCTACAGACTATGAGAACAGCCAAGTCAACATTGATATTGAAAACTAAAATCAGTCGTCTACAGACTATGAGAACAGCCAAGTCAACATTGATATGGAAAGAGAAATCAGTCACCTACAGACTATGAGAACAGCCAAGTCAACATTGACAAGGAAAGAGAAATCAGTCACCTACAGACTATGAGAACAGCCAAGTCAACACTGACAAGGAAAAGGAAATCAGTCACCTACAGACTATGAGAACAGCCCAGTCAACATTGATATGGAAAGAGAAATCAGTCACCTACAGACTATGAGAACAGCCAAGTCAACATTGATATGGAAAGAGAAATCAGTCACCTACAGACTATGAGAACAGCCAAGTCAACATTGATATGGAAAGAGAAATCAGTCACCTACAGACTATGAGAACAGCCAAGTCAACATTGATATGGAAAGAGAAATCAGTCACCTACAGACTATGAGAACAGCCAAGTCAACATTGATATGGAAAGAGAAATCAGTCACCTACAGACTATGAGAACAGCCAAGTCAACATTGATATGGAAAGAGAAATCAGTCACCTACAGACTATGAGAACAGCCATGTCAACATTGATATGGAAAGAGAAATCAGTCATCTACAGACTATGGTAACAGGTGTATACTGGTGGAGGGAGAAACACTTGTAAATAAAACTTTCAATTCAGTCTCAATACAATTTTTTTCTGACTGTACATAATAAATAACCTCTTACTTAAATGTCTGATAAGTGTTATCATGTCCGATAATTATCAGTGCCCACTTACACTTTTATTTTCTCCCAGGATCTGCAAAGCCAGCTTGTAATTGTTCTGATTTTTGCAGCTCTCTACCATTTGAAGGTGGAGTCGGAGTTTGGACTCGAGGAATGTGTCAGACATATCTACTTCCATAGAATCCTCTGAGTTTTGTTCACTGGCCATTAAACGTGCCCCAATGTGATCCAGAAAGAGGCTCCTGTTGGTGACAATGTCGTCCCATACCCTCACTGAGTCCAACAACATGTCAGGAGAACGACCCTCCCACTTCTCCAGTAGGCGATTAGCAGGACCAGGGGAACTGAAATTAGCTACAAAGAATTGATGATAACCATTTATTCTTATTTTTCTGCCATTCAGCAAAATCATTTTGAAAGCTGTTGAATGATGGAAGTCAGAGGCTAATATTAATGTTAGCAAAATATATGTATTCTTCAAAACGTTATTAATAAAAAATTCTGAACTTTCATTTGAGGGAGATAAAGCTGAGGAATTCTATAAGACAGAGACAGAGAAGGAAGGAAATAGACAAAGAGAAAGTCTGTGGCTGACATTTCAAAAATTAAATCCTAAATGTCGTAAACTTAAATGCCTGGTGTTTTATAATCCTTAGAACATACTATGAAATAAAAGGCCGTCCATAGCCCGAACTGAACACACCTGAAGGAAAATTGTTTGACTGACACCTGAATGAAGCCTGTTAGTATGTTAATCTAACTGCCACATATAAAGACAGTTCAGGTGAAAAACTTTGAAACATAAACCTTATTTGTATAAATTTAACAAACAAAATATCAAAGGATAATAAGTACAAAATGAAAGGTAAATCATTTCAAATAATTAGACACCAATTTCCTAGGTTCAGATGGAGCCCCTTAATATTGTAAGTTGTAACTATTGAGCTATACTTTCATCTGTGGGAGATAAAGTTGGGAAACTCCTGTAGTTCCACTAGGGGTTGTAACTGCTGGGATATACTTACATTCATGGGAGATAAAGTTGAGAAACTCCGGTAGTACCAATAGGGGTTGTAACTACTGGGATATACTTACATTCACAGGAGATAAAGTAAAAAGACTCCTATAGTTCCACTAGGGGTTGAAACTGCTGGGATATACTTACATTCACAGGAGATAAAGTTGAGAAACTCCTGTAGTTCCACTAGGGGTTGTAATGGCTGGGATATACTTACATTCACAGGAGATAAAGTAAAAAGACTCCTATAGTTCCACTAGGGGTTGAAACTGCTGGGATATACTTACATTCACAGGAGATAAAGTTGAGAAACTCCTGTAGTTCCACTAGGGGTTGTAACTGCTGGGATATACTTACATTCACAGGAGATAAAGTAAAAAGACTCCTGTAGTTCCACTAGGGGTTGTAATGGCTGGGATATACTTACATTCACAGGAGATAAAGTTGAGAAACTCCTGTAGTTCCACTAGGGGTTGTAACTGCTGGGATATACTTACATTCATGGGAGATAAAGTTGAGAAACACCGGTAGTACCAATAGGGGTTGTAACTACTGGGATATACTTACATACACAGGAGATAAAGTTGAGAAACTCCTGTAGTTCCACTAGGGGTTGTAATGGCTGGGATATACTTACATTCACAGGAGATAAAGTAAAAAGACTCCTATAGTTCCACTAGGGGTTGAAACTGCTGGGATATACTTACATTCACAGGAGATAAAGTTGAGAAACTCCTGTAGTTCCACTAGGGGTTGTAATGGCTGGGATATACTTACATTCACAGGAGATAAAGTAAAAAGACTCCTATAGTTCCACTAGGGGTTGAAACTGCTGGGATATACTTACATTCACAGGAGATAAAGTTGAGAAACTCCTGTAGTTCCACTAGGGGTTGTAACTGCTGGGATATACTTACATTCACAGGAGATAAAGTAAAAAGACTCCTGTAGTTCCACTAGTAATGGCTGGGATATACTTACATTCACAGGAGATAAAGGGAAACTCCTTGTTCCACTAGGGGTTGTAACTGCTGGGATATACTTACATTACACCGGTAGTACCAATAGGGGTTGTAACTACTGGGATATACTTACATACACAGGAGATAAAGTTGAGAAACTCCTGTAGTTCCACTAGGGGTTGTAATGGCTGGGATATACTTACATTCACAGGAGATAAAGTAAAAAGACTCCTATAGTTCCACTAGGGGTTGAAACTGCTGGGATATACTTACATTCACAGGAGATAAAGTTGAGAAACTCCTGTAGTTCCACTAGGGGATGTAACTGCTGGGATATACTTACATTCACAGGACGAGATAAAGTAAAAAGACTCCTGTAGTTCCACTAGGGGTTGTAATGGCTGGGATATACTTACATTCACAGGAGATAAAGTTGAGAAACTCCTGTAGTTCCACTAGGGGTTGTAACTGCTGGGATATACTTACATTCATGGGAGATAAAGTTGAGAAACTCCTATAGTTCCACTAGGGGTTGTAATGGCTGGGATATACTTACATTCACAGGAGATAAAGTAAAAAAACTCCTTTAGTTCCACTAGGGGTTGTAATGGCTGGGATATACTTACATTCATGGGAGATAAAGTTGAGAAACTCCTATAGTTCCACTAGGGGTTGTAACTGCTGGGATATACTTACATTCATGGGAGATAAAGTTGAGAAACTCCTGTAGTTCCACTAGGGGTTGTAATGGCTGGGATATACTTACATTCATGGGAGATAAAGTAAAAAAACTCCTGTAGTTCCACTAGGGGTTGTAATGGCTGGGATATACTTACATTCATGGGAGATAAAGTTGAGAAAATCCTATAGTTCCACTAGGGGTTGTAACTGCTGGGATATACTTACATTCATGGGAGATAAAGTTGAGAAACTCCTATAGTTCCACTAGGGGTTGTAATGGCTGGGATATACTTACATTCATGGGAGATAAAGTTGAGAAACTCCTGTAGTTCCACTAGGGGTTGTAATGGGTGGGATATACTTACATTCACAGTAGATAAAGTTGAGAAACTCCTATAGTTCCACTAGGGGTTGTAACTGCTGGGATATACTTACATTCATGGGAGATAAAGTTGAGAAACTCCTATAGTTCCACTAGGGGTTGTAACTGCTGGGATATACTTACATTCATGGGAGATAAAGTTGAGAAACTCCTGTAGTTCCACTAGGGGTTGTAATGGCTGGGATATACTTACATTCACTCCTGTAGTTCCACTAGGGGTTGTAACTGCTGGGATATACTTACATTCATGGGAGATAAAGTTGAGAAACTCCTGTAGTTCCACTAGGGGTTGTAATGGCTGGGATATACTTACATTCATGGGAGATAAAGTTGAGAAACTCCTGTAGTTCCACTAGGGGTTGTAACTGCTGGGATATACTTACATTCATGGGAGATAAAGTTGAGAAACTCCTGTAGTTCCACTAGGGGTTGTAATGGCTGGGATATACTTACATTCATGGGAGATAAAGTTGAGAAACTCCTATAGTTCCACTAGGGGTTGTAACTGCTGGGATATACTTACATTCATGGGAGATAAATAGAAACTCCTGTAGTTCCACTAGGGGTTGTAATGGCTGGGATATACTTACATTCATGGGAGATAAAGTTGAGAAACTCCTGTAGTTCCACTAGGGGTTGTAACTGTTGAAGTTTGTTCACACGACTTGACATCATAAGAGTGTCTGTGCTGCTCCACTCCTTAACACATCAAATCAGAGACAAAAGTTCATGTTGGCACTAAATAAAGTGAGCAATGTTTACAATGCTTTCCCAACCCCTATTTGCTGGTCCTGTGGAATTTTAACTCCAATAAATATCACCTTAACATTTAAACCATTTGGTAAAGTTTGCCAAAGGGGATAACCAATTTATATTAGAGGCATTTCCCTAGCTCCAACCATGTGCTGGAAATGCTCTAATTATATCAATGAATTACATAGGAATCAGTGTCTTAATGTATAAGGACCTCTGACTATATAATGATATATTTTTGTATTGAAAAAATAACAAATGTTACATTATTAGATTTACCCAAACACGTTCAGAAATGCTGTCAAGGATAGCATTACTGAAGAGGGCCTAGTGTTGTTTAAACTTTCTTTTCATTTGTTTCAATCAGACCTGTTTTCCCTAAAATATTTATATTCAAGATAAGAAGCAATGAATTTCTGTTTTATTGTTTTACCTGTTGGAACCGCTGTACTGCCATAGCTGTGTAATGTCGAGCCCGATCATAGTCCTCCTGCCATACTGCCAGTAGTGCAAGCTCTCCACAGTAACGGTTCTGACAAATGTACACAAAATTTTTTTACAGGCATGTTTAAAAGAAACGAAAAAAAGGAAGCTGACTTGGCTTTTTGCAGACATTACTCCTTCATTATAACTTCTCAGTATACAACAAAATATGGTACGTTTTTTCAAAAATCATTTAAGATATGTAAACACAAAAATGAAATTCCATGTAAATTTCTTTTCATATTCACATAGAAAATGTTACTTATTCATGTCACTAAGAGACAAAATTTTTTAAAACTTTCAAAAATAGTTTAACCAATGACTAGTTACTATGTGACTGAAAACATGGTGGTAACCTACAGTTATTGCTGTTAATGACACAAATCCCTTTGAAATGTCTAACATGTTAGCTCCGCATTCAAGACATTCGGTTGAGGATTGGATTTGATCTCTGATAAGGTCATCTGCATTGCATTGTTAGCCAACTTTCATGTTTACCATGAAACTGAGGGTCATATCACAAGTAAACAACCCCTTCAGATCTCCGGTTTTGAGGTTTTTGAACCAGGCTTCATGATTTGTTAATTTTATCAGATGGTTTGTGTTCTCTCTTTTCACTGGTGTAAGTCCGAGTCAGTGAGATATATCTCTATATATTTCACTGGCAAAGATGTAATACAATGACATAACAACCTACCTCTAGTAAAGACTTGTGTTCTGGTGTCTTCATTGCCTCATCCACAAAACTTATGAGTGATTGCTGATGATGGTCACCATGGAGAATCAGCTTCACCTTACTACGGATGATGAAAGGCAGGTAGTGTTCCTACGACAACAATCAAATAAATTGTCAACATCTTTATATCTACCTCTATTTCAATAATAATTTGTTAATAAGATCCAAAATATAAAGCAATGTTAGACAATCTATATTTACAAGCTTCATATTAAAATGAAGAGTATGATAGTGACCTTGGCCTGTATATAAGTGATAGAAGCCTGTTTCCTGTGAATTGTATATCAATAAATGTACATAAACTACACTCTGTACAAATTCTATACTGTCTTGTTGTACCTGGTAAAACGTATCATCCCACACAGAGGAGAGATCGCCAGCATCTAATCCTGAAGTGGATACTGTGTCCAACTCATTCCAACTGGTCAAGTTATCTAAACACTGCAAGGTAACAAAAAATGTCATATTAGCGATGTCTGCCTGAACTAACAATTTTTTTAAAAATTTCTTTTCTATATATTGATACATTTTCTCCGTTTTCCTGTGAACAAGTCTACCGTCAGTTGATCCTATACAGATATAACACCATGTGGTGCTGACGTATATCCTAATGTCTATATCTCATACACTGACAATATGGAGTGGGGGAAGAAATCCGAGATCCATCAAGTCTCCTCAAACTGTTACCTTTTTTTATCAAAACTTTTGCTATTTGCCACTGGCTCAAGTCATCAGTTTTACATTTCAGAGATCAGTTATGTTTAATCAGATGATATATTTACAGTAACTGAAATTACGTTATTACTGAAAATGCATGGTTAAAGACAAAAAAACAAAATTCTGAGTGAATATTAGGTATGGTGAGTGTATACTAGGTACCCTGAGTGTATACTAGGTACTCTGAGTGTACATAAGGTACCCTGAGTGTACACTAGGTACCCTGAGTGTACACTAGGTACTCTGAGTGTACATTAGGTACCCTGAGTGTACACTTGGTACTCTGAGTGTACACTAGGTTCTCTGAGTGTACACTAGGTACTGAGTGTACACTAGGTACTCTGAGTGTACACTAGGTATTCTGAGTGTATACAAGGTACCCTGAGTGTATACAAGGTACTCTGAGTGTACATAAGGTACTCACAGCGTACACTAGGTACTCTGAGTGTACACTAGGTACTCTGAGTGTATACTAGGTACTTACAGTGTACACTAGGTACTCTGAGTGTACACTAGGTACTCTGAGTGTATATAAGGTACTCACAGCATACACTAGGTACTCTTGAGTGTACATAAGGTACCCTGAGTGTACACTAGGTACTCTGAGTGTACACTAGGTACTCTGAGTGTACACTAGGTACTCTGAATGTACATTAGGTACCCTGAGTGTACATTAGGTACCCTGAGTACTCTGAGTGTACACTAGGTACTCTGAGTGTATACTAGGTACTCTGAGTGTACACTAGGTACTCTGAGTGTACACTAGGTACTTTGAATTTATACTAGGTACTCACAGCGTACACTAGGTACTCAGTGTGTACTAGGTACTCTGAAGCAAAAATGAATATTTGTAATAAGACTAAGTGACATAACATTTCGCTTATAACTTGAGGATAATTTGCTGTCCCAGTTATGTAAGAGTAAGTAAATATAAACGTATCAACAATTATAAACAAAAATACCTCCATCCTACAATCATCCCAGAGGTCCACCTCGGCCATCTCAGGATTACCATCCGGCCAGTCAGTATAACTCAGCGCCTAATAACAGACCACACACCTGCATCTTTATACAGATCACTTTTTAATATATACTAGATCTCTGCTACTTCAGTTTTTGTTATCTTACCCTGAATCTTCCATACAGATCTGTTTATATATATACTAAATCTTTAATACAGAACAGTTTTATAATATACACTAAATCTTCCATACAGATAAGTTTTTAATATATATAAACAGATAAGTTTTTAATAATACAGATAAGTTTTTTATATAATATAGTAAGTTTTTAATACAGATAAGTTTTTAATATAAACTAAATCTTTAATACAGATAAGTTTTTAATATATAGTAAATCTTTAATACATATTGGTCTTCAATACATACCGAGTACCAAACAATAAATTAGTCAGACATACACTTTCTAATAAATAGATAAAACGAACATCTTTAACTGATACACTTGTATTCATTAATGCTATGCACATGTGCACATGGAGACACAACATATAAACTATCACAAACCTCATCATATAACTTCTTGGCTTGATAGAAGTCTCCCCTTGCTTCAAAAGCCACTGCCTTCTGGGTAATTTCCTGAGTGCCAATCTTACCAGTAAATATCCCAAGTAGTACATCATATTCGTCTACAGACTTGTATAACCTGGCCGTTTATTGTAACAGCAACAGGAAAATATGGAAAGTGAAAACAATCACCATAGCAAACAGTACTATAAAACCTCAAAATTAAAACCTCACAAAATGAAATGTGTATAAGTTACATATATTTTGTAATTTTAAAAGGTTTGAAACTACAAAGGGTCGAGAATACTATAAAAGTGAATAAGACAATCTGACAACATAAACAAAGTAAACAATGTGTGGTTAGAAAAACTGACATATTTTGAATACATTGTTCAACTATATTTAAATCCAAACTGACCTTGCCAACTCAATCCAAGTAGGAACTTCTTTTGAGATGGTCAGGGAGTCCATCTTTCCTCGCTTGGATGGTCTCTCTTCCTCTGGATTATGGATGATAAGTTGTTCTTCCAATACCACAATACCTGTCAATTACAAGTGTCAATTAGAATACCATACCTGTCAATTAGTATATCATACCTGTCAATGAGTATATCATACCTGTCAATGAGTATACCATAACTGTCATTTAGTATATCATACCTGTCAATTCGTATATCATATCTGTCAATTACAATAATCAATTAGCATACAATACCTGTCAATTAGTATACCATACCTGTCAATTAGTATACAATTAGTATACCATACCTGTCAATTCATATATCATACATGTCAATGAGTATATCATACCTGTCAATGAGTATATCATACCTGTCAATTACAATAATCAATTAGCATACAATACCTGTCAATTAGTATACCATATCTGTCAATTAGTATACAATTAGTATACCATACCAGTCAATGAGTATACCATACCTGTCAATGAGTATACCATATCTGTCAATTAGTATACCATGACTGTCGATCAGTATGTCATACATGTCAAAGAGTATACCATACCTGTCAATTAGTCTACCATACCTGTCAATTAGTATACCATACATGTCAATTAGTATACCATACATGTCAATTAGTATACAATTAGTATACCATTAGCATACCAACCTGTCAATTAGTATACCATAACTGTCAATTAGCATAACATACCTGTCAATTAGTATAGCATACATGTCAATTAGTATACCATTAGTATACCATACATGTCAAATAGTACACCATACCTATCAATGAGTATACCATACCTGTCAATTAGTATACCATACCTGTCAATGAGTATACCATACCTGTCAATTAGGACACAACTTATGTGAATTAGTAAAATTCTATTATTAAACTTAACATTTTGAAAGTACACAGTACATGTACATGTACTTGGTCATTGGTACCTGTCAATAAGTACACAATACCTGACAATAGTAACATATAAATTAATATGTATGTATATGATTAAAATAAATGTAGTATCAAAAGCAAGTTTTCTACTTGAAAACATGAATATCATTCAGTTCACAATCCACTTCCTAATTCCAACGAACTCTGCCCTGTACAAGGTAGTCATTGGAGTTTCAGTGTTCACAGTGGTTATTCTGTAGAGATTGATGACTCCTAGTGGTTATTCTGTAGAGATTGATGACTCCTAGTGGTTATTCTGTAGAGATTGATGACTCCTAGTGGTTATTCTGTAGAGATTGATGACTCCTAGTGGTTATTCTGTAGAGATTGATGACTCCTAGTGGTTATTCTGTAGAGATTGATGACTCCTAGTGGTTATTCTGTAGAGATTGATGACTCCTAGTGGTTATTCTGTAGAGATTGATGACTCCTAGTGGTTATTCTGTAGAGATTGATGACTCCTAGTGGTTATTCTGTAGAGATTGATGACTCCTAGTGGTTATTCTGTAGAGATTGATGACTCCTAGTGGTTATTCTGTAGAGATTGATGACTCCTAGTGGTTATTCTGTAGAGATTGATGACTCCTAGTGGTTATTCTGTAGAGATTGATGACTCCTAGTGGTTATTCTGTAGAGATTGATGACTCATAGTGGTTATTCTGTAGAGATTGATGACTCATAGTGGTTATTCTGTAGAGATTGATGACTCCTAGTGGTTATTCTGTAGAGATTGATGACTCCTAGTGGTTATTCTGTGAAGTTTGAGTGTTTACCATATACTTACCTAAAGGCTGTAGGTTACTAAAGGCTGCACTGGATCCCACACTGGTCACATCAACTGACAGCTGGCTCCTTAGTTGGTACACTATGTCCTGTCACAAAATGTAGGAGTCACATAAGTTATTACAATCACAAGGGTTAACAATATCATCATAGTCACAAGGGTTAACAGTATCATCATAGTCACAGGGGTTAATAATATCATCATAGTCACAGGGGTTAACAATATCATCATAGTCACAAGGGTTAACAATATCATCATAGTCACAGGGGTTAACAATATCATCATAGTCACAGGGGTTAACAATATCATCATAGTCACAGGGGTTAACAATATCATCATAGTCACACCGGGGTTAACAATATCATCATAGTCACAGGGGTTAACAGTATCATCATTGTCACAGGGGTTAACAATATCATCATTGTCACAGGGGTTAACAATATCATCATAGTCACAGGGGTTAACAATATCATCATAGTCACAGGGTTAATAATATCATCATAGTCACAGGGTTAATAATATCATCATAGTCACAGGGTTAATAATATCATCATAGTCACAGGGTTAATAATATCATCATAGTCACAGGGGTTAACAATATCATCATAGTCACAGGGGTTAACAATATCATCATAGTCACAGGGGTTAACAATATCATCATAGTCACAGGGTTAATAATATCATCATAGTCACAGGGGTTAATAATATCATCATAGTCACAGGGTTAACAATATCATCATAGTCACAAGGGTTAACAATATCATCATTGTCACAGGGGTTAACAATATCATCATAGTCACAGGGGTTAACAATATCATCATAGTCACAAGGGTTAACAATATCATCATAGTCACAGGGGTTAACAGTATCATCATAGTCACAGGGGTTAACAATATCATCATAGTCACAGGGGTTAACAATATCATCATAGTCACTGGGGTTAACAATATCATCATAGTCACAGGGGTTAACAATATCATCATAGTCAAAGGGGTTAACAATATCATCATAGTCACAGGGGTTAATAATATCATCATAGTCACAAGGGTTAACAATATCATCATTGTCACAGGGGTTAACAATATCATCATAGTCACAGGGTTAACAATATCATCATAGTCACAGGGGTTAACAATATCATCATAGTCACAAGGGTTAACAGTATCATCATAGTCACAGGGGTTAACAATATCATCATTGTCACAGGGGTTAACAATATCATCATAGTCACAGGGGTTAACATTATCATCATTGTCACACCGGGGTCACACAATACCATCATAGTCACTGGGGTTAACAATATCATCATTGTCACACCGGGGTCACACAATACCATCATAGTCACAGGGGTCACACAATGCCATCATAGTCACAGAGGTCACACATCATAGTCACAGAGGTCACACAATACCATCACAATCAAATTCAGCTGACATATCTCACCAACATGCAGCTGACAAAGGGCAGTTGGTAGAGATTAACTCATCAACATACAGCTGACAAAGGGCAAGTGGTAGAGATAAACTCACCAACATACAGCTGACAAAAGGAGGTGGTAGAGATAAACTCATCAACATACAGTTGACAAAAGGAGGTGGTAGAGATTAACTCATCAACATACTGCTGACAGGGAGCAGGTGGTAGAGATTAACTCATCAACATACTGCTGACAAAGAGCGGGTGGTAGAGATAAACTCAACAACATACAGCTGACAAAGAGCAGGTGGTAGAGATTAACTCATCAACATACAGCTGACAAAAGGAGGTGGTAGAGATTAACTCATCAACATGCAGCTGACAAAGGGCAGTTGGTAGAAATTAACTCACTAACATACAGCTGACAAAAAGAGGTAGTAGAGATTAACTCACCAACATACAGCCGACGAAGGGCGGATGGTACTGTACTGACTGTGACAGCACTGTGCCAAGGCTGGCCTTGATCTGTTCCACAATAGGCTCTATCTCCCGTTCAACTTTCACCTGGTCCATCTGGTCATATATTGCCTTGAAGAGCTCACTAAACAGAATCTTGGCGATTGTGCTGTCTCGCTGAAAGAAGTAATATCAGCAGAATGTAAGCTATAGTAATGCATTGCTGTTATAAATGTTATAAATCTTAACCATGGTCAAGGATCCTTGGGCTTTGGGAATGCATCCTTCCAGAATGTGTTTCTGGAATGTGGAATGGGGTGATGTATCCTGAGTTTTAGGAGGATTGCATGTTGAGGATGGAGGGGATATATCCTAAGGGCTAAGGGAAATGCATCTTGAGGGTGGATGGGATGTATCACTCACATGTGCCACAGCCTGGAGGGGGGCAATGATGTAGGAGTACTTGATCTGTATGTCTGGTAAATCCCCAATACGGTACTTCCTGTACATTGTCACCTGGTTTTCACGACGTGTCTTCTGCTCCTGCATGGCCACCTGATACAAAGGAGTGTATGCAATAAACAGTCAATAACCATAAAAAACACAGTAAATACAAATACAACTGAATTGATATCTTAGACTTTACAAATTATACTGAAACGTTTACGATACTATTCTGTCTATACAACATAAACAGGATGATACCATAAGTTTATATACATGTCAGTGACATGGTTTCTCATTTGCTGTATGTGCTGTAGGTCTTGTCAGCCACTTACCTGTCTAATCTACTGTATACACTGGGTCCTGTCAGCTACTTACCTGTCTAATCTGCTGTATACACTGGGTTCTGTCAGTGACTTACCTGTCTAATCTATTGTATACACTGGGCCCTGTCTCATCTACTATATACACTCAGTCCTGTCAGCCACTCACCTGTCTAATCTACTATATACACTGGGTTCTGTCAGCCACTTACCTGTCTAATCTACTATATACACTGGGTTCTGTCAGTGACTTACCTGTCTCATCTACTATACACACTGGGTCCTGTCAGCCACTTACCTGTCTCATCTACTATATACACTCAGTCCTGTCAGACACTTACCTGTCTCATCTACTATATACACTCAGTCCTGTCAGCCACTCACCTGTCTAATCTACTATATACACTGGGTCCAGTCAGCCACTTACCTGTCTCATCTACTATATACACTGGGTCCTGTCAGCCACTCACCTGTCTTATCTACTGTATACACTGGGCCCTGTCAGACACTTACCTGTCTAATCTACTGTATACACTGGGTCCTGTCAGCCACTCACCTGTCTAATTTACTGTAAACACTGGGTCCTGTCAGACACTTACCTGTCTAATCTACTGTATACACTCAGTCCTGTCAGCCACTTACCTGTCTAATCTACTGTATACACTCAGTCCTGTCAGCCACTTACCTGTCTCATCTACTATATACACTCAGTCCTGTCAGCCACTTACCTGTCTCATTTGCTGTATACGCTGGGTCCTCCTTGCAAAGAAAATCCTGCTTGCCTCTTCATCTCTCAAAAATCTTCTCTTTAATCGCAACATCTCACTTCCTTCATCAGACTCTATCATTTAAGACAAAAAATATCTTATATTACCTCCCCTGATTTAATCACAACACATCCACAACACAAACCCTTCGGCTAAGATAATGAAGTACAAGATGCATGATCACCATTTATTTAAGGATAAACTTGGACTATATACATCTTATGGAGTCATCACACTGAGAACTGAAGTGTATGTGATATCCTTGAAAGCTTGCCTTTATATAGATGTATATATGAATGTAACCAAGAACAAGGAGCCACAAAGCCTGGAATTATCCCCCACACTCAGCTTTTGATGTAAAACCCAAACATGATAAATATATACACCGGTATAACAATTTGTGACTTATGTACAGCTACTATCCCCACACCCAGCTTTTGATGTAAAACCCAAATATGATAAATATATACACCGGTATAACAATTTGTGACTTATGTACAGCTACTATCCCCACACCCAGCTTTTGATGTAAAACCCAAACATGATAAATATATACACCGGTTTAACAATTTGTGACTTATGTACAGCCACTATCCCCACACCCAGCTTTTGATGTAAAACCCAAATATGATAAATATATACACCGGTATAACAATTTGTGACTTATGTACAGCCACTATCCCCACACCCAGCTTTTGATGTAAAACCCAAATATGATAAATATATACACCGGTATAACAATTTGTGACTTATGTACAGCCACTATCCCCACACCCAGCTTTTGATGTAAAACCCAAATATGATAAATATATACACCGGTATAACAATTTGTGACTTATGTACAGCTACTATCCCCACACTCAGCTTTTGATGTAAAACCCAAATATGATAAATATATACACCGGTATAACAATTTGTGACTTATGTACAGCTACTATCCCCACACCGAGCTTTTGATGTAAAACCCAAATATGATAAATATATACACCGGTATAACAATTTGTGACTTCACACTTCAATTATGTACCGCTACTATCATCTTAAGATCTAATACAGTGAAAGCACTAGTACAAAATATAACATCTTTTTTTGTCAATTATCAATTGAATTTCCTTGAATCTCCTTAACTTCAACATGTTTCCATGGTAACACAAAAAATACAGAAACTGAAATGTCATCAAAAGCAAAAGACGCCAGTTTTGTGAAGTTGAGTTGAACGGTTTTGAAGTTATAGCCTGGAAAATCCTGTGGAGGGATGGACGGTTGGATGGACAGACAGAGCCCAAGTTAATATCCACTGCAAACACATTTCATGGGGGATAATTACATCTGTTGAAAGCTTTGTGGCATACATTGTCCATATGCTTACTTTACATCAAAAGTGACCTTTGACACTGAAGTGCATTTTTTACATATATGTATATATTTCAACCCTAACCAATGACCACCAAAGTCAAGTCAGGTATAGACTTTGATTTTGAGCTAATGTAGAGACAAAGTCATTACTACATATTCATTTATTCCATTACCATGTTTCGGTAAAAGTAAATGTGACAGAGTATATTGTAGTTTTCATGATAATCAGATATGAATTCATAGTGTTTAAAGCTTGAATACAAGATTTCTGACTTTCTTTTTTTCAATTCAGGATGTACTCCTCTGATGTTTGACCAGAAGGACATAATTTGATAGAATTAATTCAAGGTAATATCTTAGACTTTTGTGTTTTTATATACATGTAGTTTGTAATCTAATGGTGTACTTAAAAAATGAAATAGGGGCCTTTATACAACCTTTTGAAGAAATTTTGATTGTTAATTATATTTTTTGACGTATAGGTGTTGGTGTGATTCAGATAATAGCATCAACAATTTTACTGTTTTTTTTGTTGGTAAGGTACTTCTTCACAGTATAATCTCAAAGTCTTGGGTAGATTTCCACTATATTTTGCATTAATTATCGCTAAAAATCATTATTTCAAATTTAAGAATCACTTTCCCCTGATTTTAAGGTCTCCAAAAACCAAATTTTCAGCTGGTTTCTCGATCTTGAATAATGGCTTGTACTTATCTGTACCTGATGATCCAGCTTTGTCCTCTGTCTTGACCTTACTGGGCCCTGGGTGTGGCCGTCCAAACCCAGAGGGTTTAGGCCGGACCCTTGGGCGGCCAATTCTGGCTGAGGCCTCCATTGATCCGACAGTGAAGAGCAGAGCACTCTGAGGTTCTGAGCCCACAGTTCCATAGTCTGTGTAGGTATCCAAGCTGCTCTGGGTCAGCCAGTTAAATGGGGCTCTAGATGCTGTGGTGAACAGGAATGTTGTATCTTGTTAAACTGTAAGTCAATCTTTAATACATCACAACAAACATTATAATTTTTTTTTTAAATCCAGTGTACAAATAAAAGTGTAATAATGCCATTAAATGAAATTCATTTGAAAGTTTTGAATTCAATTTAAAGGTGACAGATAAATAAACACAATAAGATTTTACACAAGTTCTATTGTTATTTGGAAGCTGAACATTTTCCGTCATCCTTTAAAAGGATGACGTTTTCACGATCACATGTAAATGTTGATTCCACTGATTATCACACAAAATGACCACAGAAATACTGACCATCCTGAGTGGCTGTGAACTGCTGAACATCAGCTGTAGCCTGTATCTCACCGTCCAAGCTGTCTGATGGAGGACTATCAGAGTCCATTGCCTGGGTTGCCATGGTGTTGGCAAACAATGGCGTCATGGCTACATGTCTCTGTCTCCATGATGACTTGACATTGTAATCCTAGGTAAACAACAAAATCACACAATTATTTTACTGTTTTCCTGACATCTCTGTTTACTATTACAAAAAAATGACGTCTTATCATAAGACGTCACAGTTAAAAGCAAGCCAAACCATTGCTTGCCAACTAATGACGATCTTGCCCTCAGTGACCGACTCAATTTTATCAACATCAGATATAATCTTCAAAAGCTCCTTATGATGAGTTGAAAACAAAAATTGTTGATGGATGAATAAGATGTTAAACAAAACTACCGTGATAGTTATCGTAAAAGGAATCAGTAGTAATTGGGAAACAAAAGACAGGTCTCTGCTTCCTGTTCTTGTTGACATTTTCAATTCACATAACTCTAAGAATTGTTATCTAAAAATGGTAAATACAAAACGTTGGTAGTACCTGGAATTTACATTCAGAGAGAGGATGCTCAAATATTTGTCGCTGGTAGTCAGGACTTTTAGAGGTCATCTCCAGAAGTAAATTTGTGGCATAGCTAAGGTATTGTTGCTCAGTAACAGGAGCATACATTGCTTCCAGCATTGCCACTAAACGGTCTAAGGTGTCCGGTGGCAGGCGGGTCTCACTGCTCCAAAAGTTCTGGATCAACAACCTACAAGTACGAAATATCTGTCTCTGTACTAATGATCAAGACAAGAAAACGTTATGTATGAAAGTCTTTACCTGTCAGTGTAAATATTAAAGACATGAAGAGGGAATTCTTACTCAAAAAAAAAGAAAAAAGAATGCTGATAAACTGTTACTTTGACATTACCCTGATAAAGCCATTACCATAGTATCATTTTACCTGGAGTGAAGATCTTCATCTCCAAGTCCTCTCAGGAGTCCCTCTTTAGTCTGCTGTATGATTATGTGGGCATCCTCATTATCATCTCGCCTGAAATACAGAGCACTACATAAGACTTCATTACACATTTATTTTCTGATTAGAGTAATTATCTCTTTGTCAATGGAGCCAGATTTTGTTCTCAAGTTTATAGGCAGGAGAAATCTGAATAACATTTAACATAACTCTACCTTCTGATCAGTGTTAACATAACTCTACCTTCTGATCAGTGTTAACATAACTCTACCTTCTGATCAGTGTTAACATAACTCTACCTTCTGATCAGTGTTAACATAACTCTACCTTCTGATCAGTGTTAACATAACTCTACCTTCTGATCAGTGTTAACATAACTCTACCTTCTGATCAGTGTTAACATAACTCTACCTTCTGATCAGTGTTAACATAACTCTACCTTCTGATCAGTGTTAACATAACTCTACCCTGTTATCAGTGTTAACATAACTCTACCCTGTTATCAGTGTTAACATAACTCTACCCTGTTATCAATGTTAACATAACTCTACCCTGTTATCAATGTTAACATAACTCTATCCTGTTATCAATGTTAACATAACACTACCCTGTTATCAATGTTAACATAACTCTACCCTGTTATCAGTGTTAACATAACTCTACCCTGTTATAAGTGTTATCATAACTCTACCTTGTTATCAGTGTTAACATAACTCTACCCTGTTATCAATATTAACACAACACTACCATGTTATCAGTGTTGACATAATTCTACCTTCTTATCATTGTTAACATAACTCTATGCTGTTATCAATGTTAACATAACTCTATCCTGTTATCAGTGTTAACATAACTCTACCCTGTTATCAGTATTAACATAAGTCTACCCTGTGTAAGTTTTCCCATTGCATAAAAAATGTTATGAGGGAATGTTAACAGCACTGTTAACATGACTGGCTATTATTTGAATGTTATAACTGAACAAGATACAATGTACAAGGTAATGGAAACTTATATAACTCATGCTAAGACTAAATTCATTCAAAATGAAAGTAATTTTGACCACGAGGTTTTCCAACACTACTTTGTCCGTTTATTTTATGTAAAGATTATAGACTTACCGATAGTTATCGTACACCCACATGAGAATATCATACATTATGTTGCGACAGGATGTACTAGGATGACCAGAGAATGCTGTCACCAGTGGTAACAAGGCCATCAATTCCTTAGGCTCCAGTTTCACCATCATCGTCTTCACAATCTTTAAAGCAATAAGTTGTGTTTGCTCATCCCTTTAATAAACATGAACAGTATATTGAGATAGATGATCATGGTCTCAGGAAGCAGCTTACACTGATTTTCACTGATGATATGTTTCAATACTTGCACCTAACAATCTAAATAACAAGGTTCTACAGGTTAAAAAAACAAAAGAAGAAAAACATTTCAAACATTTATGACCCGAACATTGGAAGGATATTGATTTCCATTTCCTTTAGGTACTGCGAACACAAAGTTTAAAGTCAATCTGATGATTGATTCTCAACTGATTTCAGCTAGCAAAACTATACTTAGCAAGTGACCTAGAACTCTAGATATATTATTAAATGTTTCACTGTCAATTTTGTCAACTGTCTTCAGATGAATAATCAACCAACTAAGGTCAACATAGTGGTTACCATATCATCAGAAAAGGGTGGGACTTATAATTCAGTGTACCTAAAATGAGGACCACATCAAAAACAAGAGACCTAGTGGCTTTGAAGGTCACCTGAGGTAAGCAATATTGAATATAAAAGAATTACAGGTTCAGTGACTTTCAAGTGTCAAGAAACAGGGTGGCGCTGTGTTAACGCACTCCCCTTTCACCTAGCCGACCGGGGTTCGATTCCCGGAACCGACGTGAAAAGGTAAGGGGTCACCTGCCCGACCACGTGGGTTTTCCCCGGGTACTCCGGTTTCCTCCCACAATAAGACCCCTAGCACGCTTACATCCGGGCCAACAAGAGTATTTAGTATAAGTTGACATAACTTGTTTCGCAATTGTTGTAAAATAAATAAAGTTTATATATATATATATATATATATATATATAACAAACAAAAAATTGCAACATTAATTGCAGTAAGATGTAAGTGATATGTTTGAAGTCCTTGGGGGTTGGCCAGTGTCAATATATGCATCCTTTCACAATTGTCATCCTATCCCAATAATTCAACTTACCAAATTATTTCCTATGGAAAATAAGCAACTTTTTTCTCAAAATTCAATTTTCTTATAAAAACTTCAGTAAACTTCATCCCTTCCCCAGGGAGAAATATGAGACTCTCGGGTCAGGAAACTCACAATTTTGATACTCCAAGAGACCCCTCCAACCACGAAGAGCATTTGATTCTACCATTCCTGGATGTTGAGAATTTATGGACTTGGAGTACCAACAAAATGAAAATTTACAGAAGTCTAAACTGTAGACAAGGATAGGACACTGACCTGTGACTGACATAGAACACTGACCTGTGATTGAAGTAGGTCACTGACCTGTGATTGAAGTAGGACACTGACCTGTGACTGAAGTAGAACACTGACCTGTGATTGAAGTAGGACACTGACCTGTGATTGAAGTAGGACACTGACCTGTGACTGACATAGAACACTGACCTGCGACGTGGGTAGGACACTGATCTGTAACTGGGCTAGGACAATGACATGTGACTGGGCTAGGACACTGACCTGTGACTGACATAGAACAATGAACTGTGATGTGGGTAGGACACTGATCTGTAACTGGGCTAGGACAATGACATGTGACTGGGCTAGGACACTGACCTGTGACTGAAGTAGGACACTGACCTGTGACTGAAGTAGGACACTGACCTGTGACTGAAGTAGGACACTGACCTGTGATTGACATAGGACAATGACATGTGACATGGGTAGGACACTGATCCGTAACTGGGCTAGGACAGTGACATGTGACTGGGCTAGGTCACTGACCTGTGACTGCAGGAGGTCACTGACCTGTGACTGAAGTAAATCACTGACCTGTGACTGAAGTAGGACACTGACCTCAGACTGAAGTATGACACTGATTGGGGAATGACAATAACCTGTGATTAATGTAAGACACTGACTTATTACCAAGGTAAGACACTAAACTTTGACTAAGGTATGACCTATGACTTAGTTAGGATAATAAGCTGTGACTAAGGTATGACCTGTGACTTAGTTAGGATAATAAGCTGTGACTAAGGTATGACCTGTGACTTAGTTAGGATAATAAGCTGTGACTAAGGTATGACCTGTGACTTAGTTAGGATAATAAGCTGTGACTAAGGTAGGACCTGTGACTTAGTTAGGATAATAAGCTGTGACTAAGGTAGGACCTGTGACTTAGTTAGGATAATAAGCTGTGACTAAGGTAGGACCTGTGACTTAGTTAGGATAATAAGCTGTGACTAAGGTAGGACCTGTGACTTAGTTAGAAAAATAAGCTGTGACTATGGTAGGACATGTGACTTAGTTGGGATAATAAGATGTGACTAAGGTAGGACCTGTGACTTAGTTAGGATAATGACCAGTGACTAAGGTAGGACATGTGACTTAGTAAGGATAATGACCTGTGACTTAGGTAGGATCTAAACTTAGTTAGAATAAGCTGTGACTAAGGTAGGACCTGTGACTTAGTTAGGATAATAACCTGTGACTAAGGTAGGCCCCATAACTTAGTTAGGATAATAAGCTGTGACTAAGGTAGGACCTGTGACTAAGTTAGGATAATAAGCTGTGACTAAGGTAGGACCTGTGACTTAGTTAGGATAATAAGCTGTGACTAAGGTAGGACCTGTGACTTAGTTAGGATAATAACCTGTGACTAAGGTAGGACCCGTAACTTAGTAAGGATAATAAGCTGTGACTAAGGTAAAACCTATGACTTAGTTAGTATAATGACCTGTGACTAAGGTCAGGACAATTACTTTTGATCAAGCTAGGTGGTCACTTTCTAGTAACTGAAGTAGGATACTGAACTTTGACTAGGATAAGACATCTACCTGTGACGAGGGCAGAAAAATGACCTGTGACCTGGTGAGACAGTGATCTGTGACAGACTGTAACAAATCTGTGAGTAAGTTAGGTTACTGAACTGTGACTAAGTTAGGATACTGACCTGTGACTGAGGTAGGAAACAAGACCTTTTGACTTGAGTTCCATGTAGACATTATCAATGCTTTCCACACAGCCATGAATAATCTCCAGACTTAGACTGCGAAACTCACCATGCATCTTAGGCAGCATAAACAATATCTTATTGATAAATCTGTAGAGAAAATTTCATATAAAGCAGTCTGAATACTGTGTTCACCGTGACAGACAGTAGATAATGTTTAACAGAAACTTAAGAGGCTGTACATGATCACAGATTTGAATGTAGTCTATTATGTTAGGAATTAGAAATTATAATGACAGACCTGTACAAGCCACTGATCTTTTATGATAACCCAAAATAGATTATTCTTCAAAAAAATTTCATTAAAATCAAAGCATTTGTTTGTTCACAAACCAAAAGGCAGATAAATTTTCCAGGAAATAGTCCTGGTTTGGGGTTTTCTTTAACCATTTGTTTAAAAGTAACTTTTTCATGCAGAAAGGCATGATAGGCTAAGAATTAATGTTTAATGCAGTCCTTTATCAAACATCACAACCAATCAAACAACATTAGAATAGTAAATCACTCAGATTATTCTCTCAAATATCAATGTTCTGCCATCCTTAACGGGTCCTAGCAGGTTATAAGACTTGTTCATGATTGACCAGCCTTACTTGACAGCCACTGGAGGGTAGTGTCGGTGTAGCCGATGGACCCCAATCACAAAGTTTTCTGGCTTAGAAAGGTGCATGGAATTCATCAGGCGTGTCACATGATTGTAAAATGGCCCTTCTGTCTCCTTCTCCTTCTCAGCCAGATACTGGAATATCATGCCAACTACCTCAGCTGTGGCTGCATATACAGACCGTAGCTGATGGGTCAAGTAGCTTGATACAGTGGAGAAAAACCTACAACATAACAAAATTGTTCGGGTGTCAAAATTATCATTTATTTACAAAATTATGTAAATTCTCTTTTTTTTGCATGTGCCTACAGGAAACAAAACTATATCAGAAACATTGACTGCTGAATAATATCTGGTACCGACCCTTAAAATGATTTAAAATCTGCTAGACCACATAGTGTGAATATAGATGAAAAATCAACTGCCAGAAAGAAAGATTATCAAGATTAAACATGTATTATAAACAAGAGATCCAAGAGGGATTTTGGCATCCAACAGTGTTTGTTCTTTACAAGTTGGATCTTTTCCCTTTTTTCACTTCTTTCTTGGTTTTACTCATAAATATATGGAATTTGGAAATCCCTCTTAAGACATAAACATAGCAAACTTTAAGTGCTAAATCCAAGATGGTTGCTTGTCAGTTATTTGTTGATCTGACAAGTTCCATAACTAAATGGACACTATATAGGACCAAGGGGAACCTACATTTGAAATTTGAGAAAAATTCTAAAGAAATAGGTTTCAAATAAACTTTCATTATCAAAATCAAAGATGGCTGCTTGTCAGCCATTTTAATTTTCTGATCAGTCCCAAAATCTAATGTGAACAACTTGGGTGCAATGATGGTGGACTAATAAACAGCTTACTTATCACGGTCCACTGGGGCTGCTGGACCATACGGTGGTAACTTGCAAGCAAGGACAACCCCCATAATCTGAATTCCTGTGCTGTGACGAGGAGATTTCGGGTCACCACGCGAATCCATCATCAACTTGTATATGACACTGCAAGGAACAACAAACATGTAGAATGCCTATACCATATATTTTTCATTATTAAATCTACATTTGAAAACATCATTATTTAAGCAATGAAATGGATTAAATTTTAGCTTTCTTTCTAAGTAAATAATATTTTTCTCTTTCAAATGTATTTATAACGATTTATATTGTGGCTACGACACTAGATAAGTACTCCCATGCTAACTTCTCTAGTGTCTTCAATAACTAATATTCCAATGAAATTTCCCATCAATAATAGCACTTAAGTTGAATTCACACAGTAGACACTCTATCATGAGAAGGTTGTATTTTTGTTGTACAAAAATCTACAGTGAAAAGCTTTTGATCTAAGGTTATATATCTAGATCAACATACCTTATAACATATCAAGTTTATTCATCTACCTTATAACACAGAAAGTAATATTTCTATCAATATATAAAGCAATACACAAGAGAATCCAGAGGGATCTTGGCACCCGTTATTTAATCTTTCTTTGTTCTTTGAAAATTTCTCCTAAATGGAAGCCATATAAGACAGTACTTAGATGGGACTTCCTATGACTAAGAGAGGTTTTAAGATCTATGTAGGTCCATACTTGTATGGGACTTCTAGACGATCTCTCCAGCACTGTAGAAGAGTCTTTAACAGCTCCAAGTTGTTTCTAAAGACTGGTCGTGTCTCACTGAATGCATTGGCTGTCAAGTATTCCACTACGCGTGTAGCCATGGCACGCTCTTCTGCAGTATCCTGTTGTCAACAGCAACATCAGTCAAGGTCAAGATGATAGACATTACATCAATATAGCAATCAGCAACATCAGTAAAGGTCAAGGTGACAGACATTACATCAATATAGCAATCAGCACATCAGTCAGGGTCAAGGTGACAGACATACATCAATATAGTAATCAGCAACATCAGTCAAGGTCAAGGTGACAGACATTATATCAATTAAGTCATTAGTAACATCAAAATTATCAGAGGGATAGCCATCTTCTTAATCTAGTTACCTGTATGATGGCCACCTTGTAAATTAAGTTACCTGCATGATGGCCACCTTGTAAATTAAGTTACCTGCAGGATGGTCACCTTGTAAATTTAGTTATCACAGGAATGGCCATGTAAATTAAGTAACCTGAGGGATGGCCACCTTGTACATAAAGTTACCTGAGGAATGGCCACTTTGTAAATAAAGTTACCTGCGGGATGGCCACCTGGTGCCATGACATCATTGTGACAACTACATCCACAACAAAGTAATTGATTCCCTCACTTCCTAAAGCCCCACTCAGAATCAGCTGGCTCAGCGGCCGCAACCAGTACCTGGCATATGGCTGAAATATCTGTAACAAAGGACAATGGTGTAAAAAGTTACTTGCTTTAAGCTTCAAGGTCAATGATACTCAATACGACAACTTTGAAAATTAGGAGGACACTTTAAAGAGTGACTGATTCTTACAGAAAGCAGATGAAAAATTGATAAAAATACAGTTTCCAACAGTAATTTAACAGATGATACAGCTGTTCGTTTACCAGGACTTGTCAGTGATGCTAAGGGCTTAAAACTTTTAAATAAAGGAGGGGATCAAGACAACAAGAAACTGAGTGATAGAAAAGTCAAAATTAAGAAAAGGAGGTGAACTAACCCCATAATCCTAAACATTTGACATTTTTCATGTACATGGTAACTATAATAACAGTGAATCTAAAAACTAGCTCTATAAATGATATATTTATGTAGAAAAAGTCAAGTATTTGTGATGATTAAATAATTCACAGTGACTGTAATCTATAACAGCACAAACCTGGGTACAGTTGCTGACAAGCTTTGCAATGAACAATTTGATGTTGACATGAGTTTTTGCACTCTTCATTTTGGTATGTAGGTAATCCATCCATCCAGGCATGGAGGCTGCTGTCCCCTACAGTACAGGAAACCAACATTTATACTAACAGTACAGAAAACTAAAATTGTTATACTAACAGTTTACAGTACAGGAAACCTGCTATACTACCAGTTTACAGTACAAGAAACCAACACTTTTAAACTAACAGTTTACAGTACAGGAAACCAACACTGTTATACTAACAGTTTACAGCACAGGAAACCAACACTGTTGTACGAACAGTTTACAGCACAAGACACCAACATTGTTCTACTAACAGTTAACAGCACAAGACACCAACATTGTTCTACTAACAGTTAACAGCACAATAAACCTACATTGTTCTACTAACAGTTTACAGCACAAGACACCAACATTGTTCTACTAACAGTTTACAGCACAAGACACCAACATTGTTCTACTAACAGTGTACAGCACAAGACACCAACATTGTTCAACTAAAAGTTTACAGCACAATAAACCTACATTGTTCTACTAACAGTTTACAGCACAAGACACCAACAACATTGTTCTACTAACAGTTTACAGCACAATAAACCTACATTGTTCTACTAACAGTTTACAGCACAGGAAACCAATATTGTTATACTTTCAGTTTACAGCACAAGACACCAACATTGTTCTATTAACAGTTTACAGCACAAGACACCAACTTTGTCCTACTAACAGTTTACAGCACAGGAAACCAATATTGTTATACTTTCAGTTTACAGCACAAGACACCAACATTGTTCTACTAACAGTTTACAGCACAAGACACCAACTTTGTTCTACTAACAGTTTACAGCACAAGACACCAACATTGTTCTACTAACAGTTAACAGCACAAGACACCAACTTTGTTCTACTAACAGTTTACAGCACAAGACACCAACATTGTTCTACTAACAGTTAACAGCACAAGACACCAACTTTGTTCTACTAACAGTTTACAGCACAAGAAACCAATATTGTTCTATTAACAGTTTACAGCACAGGAAATCAATATTGTTATACCCTGGAAACCACCTACTTTTATATCACGTAATGTCATCTTCCAGTGAATATTATGCTTATTTCAAACATCAATTTTAACCTACATATAATTCTATGCAATCCAACATCTGGTAATGTGGGCAATGCATGATATCAGTTCGTTTTGGCGACTATTGCAAAGAAAAACACAAGTTAATCACTAGAATGTGAGAAAAAGACCTATAAATTCTTGCTTCAGGGGCCATTTGTCACACATGGATGTGCCCTACTGGCCAACATTAAACATCTGCTGACTCCGAAACAAAGACAGACTCTCTTACCTGTAAGGTCAAGCTAGGTCAAGGGAAGTCTGGTGTGTTTGATTTTAATTGGCTAATGTGACAAAAGTGTTCAAATTGGTTTTAAACCCTTTTTCACTTGGAAATTGTTACAACTATCATGAATAATTGGCATCCATGCTACTAAGTTCTCTGATATGCTGCCAAAACATTCTGAAACTTTGTCTGAAGTATGCACATCAGGATAAATTTCAAAACAACAAAGAATGCTTTCCAAAAGATATGATGAGAATATAATCCAACATGATTTAAATTTTACAATTTAGGGTAAATAGCCCTTGTTTTACTTTTTACAATGACCAATGGGACAACAAATCAGGACATGATTATATCATTATTAGAAATATCATTATTATTGAGTTTTCATTATCACACTCATGATACAAAACTAAAAATGCTGAATAAAGTGCATACTACATAATAATATATGTATATAACAACTGTACAATCATTTCCTATTTTGGAGTCTGCACACTAATGGATGAATGAATTATGCTGCAATATATTAGTGGATGTAAGTATAGTCACAAACAAATTTCACATGTTAAACTGTTAAGTATTGTCACAAACAATTTCACATGTTAAACTGTTAAGTATTGTCACAATCAAATTTTACATGTTAAACTGTTAAGTATTGTCACAATCAAATTTCACATGTTAAACTGTAAATATACCATGATCGTTCACAATAATTTATGAGTAGGATCAATCATTTTAAAAATACACAAAATCACTGTGCTTATAGGGATTACTACTTAATGTAGTGACTAGAGGTGTGACACCTGTTCATTGTTTGTGTAGTGACAGGACTACAGCAGTGTGACTACTACCTACCATAGTGACAGGAGGTGTGACACCTGTTCATTGTATGTGTAGTGACAGGACTACAGCAGTGTGACTACTACCTACCATAGTGACTGGAGGTGTGACACCTGGTCATTGTTTGTGTAGTGACAGGACTACAGCAGTGTGACTACTACCTACCACAGTGACTAGAGGTGTGACACCTGTTCATTGTATGTGTAGTGACAGGACTACAGCAGTGTGACTACTACCTACCATAGTGACTAGAGGTGTGACACCTGTTCATTGAATGTGTAGAGACAGGACTACAGGAGTGTGACTACTACCTACCATAGTAACTAGAGGTGTGACACCTGTTCATTGTATGTGTAGTGACAGGACTACAGCAGTGTGACTACTACCTACCATAGTGACTAGAGGTGTGACACCTGTTCATTGTTTGTGTAGTGACAGGACTACAGCAGTGTGACTACTACCTACCAAAGTGACTAGAGGTGTGACACCTGTTCATTGTATGTGTAGTGACAGGACTACAGCAGTGTGACTACTACCTACCATAGTGACTGGAGGTGTGACACCTATTCATTGTATGTGTAGTGACAGGACTACAGCACTGTGACTACTACCTACCATAGTGACTAGAGGTGTGACACCTATTCATTGTATGTGTAGAGACAGGACTACAGCAATGTGACTACTACCTACCATAGTGACTAGAGGTGTGACACCTGTTCATTGTATGTGTAGTGACAGGACTACAGCAGTGTGACTACTACCTACCATAGTGACTGGAGGTGTGACACCTATTCATTGTATGTGTAGTGACAGGACTACAGCACTGTAACTACTACCTACCATAGTGACTAGAGGTGTGACACCTGTTCATTGTTTGTGTAGTGACAGGACTACAGCAGTGTGACTACTACTTACTGTAGTGACAGGAGGTGTGACACCTGTGCGTTGCATGTGTAGAGACAGGACTACAGCAGTGTGACTACTACTTACTGTAGTGACAGGAGGTGTGACACCTGTGCGTTGCATGTGTAGTGACAGGACTACAGCAGTGTGACTACTACTTACTGTATTGACAGGAGGTGTGACACCTGTGCGTTGCATGTGTAGTGACAGGACTACAGCAGTGTGACTACTAATTACTGTAGTGACAGGAGGTGTGACACCTGTGCGTTGCATGTGTAGAGACAGGACTACAGCAGTGTGACTACTACTTACTGTAGTGACAGGAGGTGTGACACCTGTGCGTTGCATGTGCTGCAGCAGTGCTATAGAGGTGGCCATACACTCATGTTTGTTCAGATCATCCATCTCCAACTCTACATAGTCATCCTGTACCACAACCTTGGTCTCCTGTAGAAATATCAAAGTGTCAATCATACCAATTTCCAAATACAGCTTAAGCCAGAGTAATTTATCCATATAAAATCATATCACAGTTAAATTTCACATTATTCACTGAATTCCTACTTCCTTTTTTTTTTTTTTTTTTTTGAGCTTAACGTCCTTGTTCCGGTTATAACCGAGCCTCGGACACTATTTTCCTACTTCCTGGGCAAACTCAACTTTATAAATGATAAATCCCTAACGTTAATTTAAACCTACCGTGTCATCATCAGGATTGTTGTAGCTGAAGATCCTTCCCAGTCGAGTCCTTCCTTTATCAGAGGGTGAAGGTGAAAACTGGATAGTGGTATAAAAAATGTTTTAGAGAAATGACAATTTATCCTTTTGTTTTTACTACTCATTTTTAATAATCTTGAAGTTCACATTTAGTTTTTGTGACTACATCACTTTAATGACAAATGATGTTACAATGTTAACTAGACAGAACCCTGCCTTCGATATATTGTATGTTAAATCTTGTGTTACTATAGATAGACAGAACCCTGACCTGTGATGTACCCGCCTTCAATATATTGTATGTTAAATCTTGTGTTATAATAGATACAGACAGCACCCTGACCTGTGACGTGCCTGTCCTGGAAATATTGTATGTTAGATCTTGTGTTACTATAGATACAGACAGAACCCTGACCTGTGACGTGCCTGCCCTGGAGATATTGTATGTTAAATCTTGTGTTACTATAGATACAGACACAACCCTGACCTGTGACGTGCCTGATGTGGAGAAATCATATTGGCTGACATCATCATGGAGACTACTGTCAGCCAGGTACTGTGAGGCAAGATTGAAGGAAGCATATTCTGTTTCCATACCACCCTCCTGTTGTCGTTCCTTCACTTCCTTACGAAGTGACACAAACTGTTTCTTGCGCTCCATGGGCGACTGACAAAGACAACAAAAATCAAAGTTTAGCATAAAAAGTTTCAGCAAAGTAATTTAGCACCAAAAAACACATTTTAAATAGAGTTTAGTTTGAATGATTAAGAAAAGGTGACTTACACAAAATGAAAATGTTAGTGATAATCAACTAGCCTTGTTCATTCTTTTATATTTACACGGTGTATATACACACATTGCTATAAAATAAACTCACGGTCAGTTCTGTAGGAAACTCATATGTCCTTTCTTTATCAATAAGATTATCCAGCAGAAAATCACCCTGCAAAATAGAAAAGAGTTCTGCAGTGTGGTACATGATACATCCATCACAGGCTTAATTAGCATTTCGCGAAAGGAAAGGGAAGGAAAGAGATGTTCAATGTCCAATCAACATCAACACATCAAGGTCATTTACAGACAGTGCCAGTTGTGTAATGGTGGAGGAAACTTGTGTAAACTACCCAGCATCAATGGCAATAACAAGGTCATTTACAGACAGTACCAGTTGTGTAATAACAAGGTCATTTACAGACAGTACCAGTTGTGTAATAACAAGGTCATTTACAGACAGTACCAGTTGTGTAATAACAAGGTCATTTACAGACAGTACCAGTTGTGTAATAACAAGGTCATTTACAGACAGTACCAGTTGTGTAATAACAAGGTCATTTACAGACAGTACCAGTTGTGTAATGGTGAAGGAAACTTGTGTAAACTACCCAGCATCAATGATAATAGATAAAGGGCCATAACTTTATGAATTAAAGTTAGAAAAATGCTGTCATTGAACTTGTCCAAATGATAATGGTAATAACACTTCCTATTAAGTTTGAAGTTGATCTGTTGAAAACTACTTGTTTTATTGAGTGGACACTGTTTGGGTAATTCAATAAGGGGCTATGAAATAAAGTCCAAATATTACGGCGATCAAATTTGTCCAAACTATCATGATATTGGACTTTTCTCTGCAGTTTGATGTTGATTCATTAAAAACTACTTGTGATGTATAGAAGGCATTGTTGCAGTAATTTAATAAGGTGCCAAAACTCTTTGAATAACTGTTTCGAAAATCACAGGAATTGAACTTGTCCAAGCTATCATGGTTGATGAACTTTTCTTTGAAGTTTGAAATCTAACAGTGAAAACTACTCAAGTCATCAAGTGGACAATGTGTGTGCCCATCTACCAATCCGCCAAACTGCCCACCATTTTTTAGTTATCAACGAAAGCCTCTTGTGACCTTGAAAATAAGTAAAGGTCATTGATATGATCTATACCTTTGTCTCGTCCTCCTTAAACAAGAACACCTGATAAAACTTGGCCTCTGTCTGAGTACATGATACTACTGAAATAAGCATGTTGTAGGCTGCACAGTGATACAGGCGACGAAGGCTAAGCAGAGTTGTCTCCCCTCGTGTATCTTCACCCTTCGCAGCATGACCAATCCTTCAATAAAACAATCATTTACAGAAAATCTTTCACTTACAGAAAAATGTCAGAAATCTTGCATTAAGACTAAAAGTTTAATCTCTCTAGTCATCCATAATTTTATTATCACTGTTGTCATTCCTTACTCCATCATCACCTTAGTCATCCCTTACTTCAGCATCGTCCTTATTATCTTTATTTCATTATCCCCCTTGTCACCTTTCGTTTTTTATCATAACGCTAATCACCCTTAATTTCATTATCATCATTGTAATTCCTTACTTCATCACAGCTCTAGTCATCTCCGATCCTGTTTTGATTGGTTCGTCTTTCAACTGACAGAACTTCTCGTTGAGGGCTGAGTTTTTGCTGGAGACTTCCTCCTTAGCTAGGTGTGAGTACATGACATCCATCAGCTGGAAACACCCAGTCTTACTCACTAGCTGATTTTCCAGTCCTGACCCCTGTGGAAATCATGGTTTCAAGTACTATTATAATTGTGTTTTAATTTTTTGCTACCAATTATACACCATAAAAATTTCAACAAGATGTCTTCCAAGAAAAATTTTACCCTGAAAAAGCCTTAAAACTTCAACAATATTAAAATTGCACTTTATTCATCAACATCATTTTGTCTTAATGATATAGTCTTTCTACTTTGGTTTTAATAACTTTTCTTCTGACCATCTTGAAACTAAATATTTGAAACCTAACAACTAAAAACAAAATCTGTGACCTTGATCTAAAACTACAACCTCTAACCCTGGCACTCTGACATGGGCTGATCTTGACCCTCTCATAACATGACATTGACCTTGACCTCCTTATAACCATTAATCTTGGCTTTGTAATCACATGACAACTAACCTTGACCTGTTTGGCCTCAAGTATGGTTCTAAAATCCTTCATGTGGTCCAGATAGAACTCCAGTAATGCAGACTTGTGACACAGATGTAACATAGGCAGGGCAACCTTCTCCAAGGTCGCAGTACGAATCTCAGCAGGATAGCTCTCTTTACAGAATATATTATAGGCCACATCTACTGCCAGCTTCTGTTTGTCAGCAGGAAGTCTGTCATATATACATAACAATCATACTACACTAAGTTAAAACTTTTATTATTGTCTAAAATTGATAGACACACAGGAGACTGAAACTGTACCAAGTCCTCAAAGATTGGGGGGTGGGGTGGGGTGGGGTGGGGTGGGGGGGGGGGAGCACCTTTCAATACGAAATTGGAATTAGATATAGTAGAGCCAATTAATGAACTATACTGCATTATACAGCTGTTGCATCCTAGGACTAAAGCTAAAGGAGGCAACCAATGGCAATTATCTTTTTGTAAAGTCCTTTTCATCTTAGAGGATTGATTGACATGAAAACATTTGTGTGTATTTACCTTCTTATGAACCTGTTGAGAAACTGCTGGATTGTATCTTCATATGTATGCTTCTGTTCTCGACAGGCTACGCTGATCAGGAGCTCTAAGAGAACCAGACTGCCAGACAGCTCTAGTCCACTTAAGATCTAAATTAATCACACAAACATCAAGCAGTGTTAACTATTCAATGAAGACAAAAGGTAACTGATAATCATTAACAGCAATTTTACATCAATTCTGAATTGTTACAACGGTTAACAGCATGGACTTGTTTACAATTAGATAAGCTACAGATCCATCTGCAATATAAAGAATATAAAGTCTTTTTGTCCTAAGTGATACCAATGTTTATTATTTAAGACATTTTTTAACACTTAAGTTTTAATTTGTCTAAACCTGATACATAATTCCAATACTGCCTTTGGGAAACACCGAGCTCTTCAGAGAAATATTTTACCTTGTCTAAAGCTGATATATAATCCCGATAATGAGAACTGCCTTTGGGAAACACCGAGCTCTTCAGAGAAATATTTTACCTTGTCTAAAGCTGATATATAATCCCGATAATGAGAACTGCCTTTGGGAAACACCGAGCTCTTCAGAGAAATATTTTACCTTGTCTAAAGCTGATATATAATCCCGATAATGAGAACTGCCTTTGGGAAACACCGAGCTCTTCAGAGAAATATTTTACCTTGTCTAAAGCTGATATATAATCCCGATAATGGGAACTGCCTTTTGGGAACTCGGAACTCTTCAGAGGAAAGTTATCTGCCACAAGCCTGTCTAGACTTGTCCTTTAATATAAAAGTAATATAACTTAACTCAAATATAGTCTGTTAGGTTTCTAAGAAATTGGTGAAAGACTGAGGGTGGCGATTTCAGCAAAAAAACAACCATAAAGGGCAATAACTCCTTCAAAAATTGTTGGATCAAACTGAAATTCCCTAAAAAACATAATTACATGTCATAGTTATAATGCCTACAAAATAAAGGAAACTTCGGACAAGATTAACATTATGAAACAACAAGGGGCAATAACTCTTTCAAATACAGTCGAAACTGATGTATACATTTTGACAGGCGTATAAAAACATTACATGTCTCCCACTTTTGAGACTATGAAGAGTTGTAGCAACTATTTCTTTGACCAAAACATCTACTGAACAAATATGAAAACAGCATAGAAATCATGTCAATTTTTTATGAATATTAAAGTTGATGAGCTACTTACTTGAGCTTTGTGATATGGGGCTTTGGGACATTGACAAAGAATGGTACTAGGTCTAACACACGGCACTGTAAACAAAGTTGTAAGGGGCTATATCAGTTATACAGTGATAAATGCAGACATGTTTGTACTAAAAATGGATGAGTTACTGAGGTGTATATATAATCACATATTCATGGCACACAATGAGAGAGAAGTGTAACCACTTGCCTGTTCATATATGTGGTTCCTCATCACTTTTAATGTAACATTTTAAAAAAAATGAGTATGGACTTGAAATATTAGCACAGGTCTCAAAAAACCAATTTGAAGCTCGTCAGAGAGCAAAATAAAATCAGCAGGCTTGACCTTATTTTGTACATCAACAACCTGCGTCAAACTGGTCAAACCAATCAAGGAAAACAGCCCTGATCACATAATGTGGCTTCTCTTAAATAAATACAACTGAATGGAACAATCACTGCTAATATCTTTACAAGTATCCTGGAACACTGGATACACGGACGAGTATCCTGGAACACTGGATACACGGACGAGTATCCTGGAACACTGGATACACGGACGAGTATCCTGGAACACTGGATACACGGACGAGTATCCTGGAACACTGGATACACGGACGAGTATCCTGGAACACTGGATACACGGACGAGTATCCTGGAACACTGGATACACGGACGAGTATCCTGGAACACTGGATACACGGACGAGTATCCTGGAACACTGGATACACGGACGAGTATCCTGGAAGACTGGATACATGGACAAGTTTCCTGGAACACTGGATACACGGACGAGTATCCTGGAAGACTGGATACATGGACAAGTATCCTGGAACACTGGATACATGGACGAGTATCCTGGAAGACTGGATACATGGACAAGTATCCTGGAACACTGGATACACGGACGAGTATCCTGGAAGACTGGATACACGGACAAGTATCCTGGAACACTGGATACACGGATGAGTATCCTGGAACACTGGATACACGGACGAGTATCCTGGAAGACTGGATACATGGACAAGTTTCCTGGAACACTGGATACACGGATGAGTATCCTGGAAGACTGGATACATGGACAAGTATCCTGGAAGACTGGATACATGGACAAGTATCCTGGAAGACTGGATACATGGACAAGTATCCTGGAACACTGGATACATGGACAAGTATCCTGGAACACTGGATAAACAGACTAATTTCCTGGAACACTGGATAAACAGACTAATTTCCTGGAACACTGGATAAACAGACTAATTTCCTGGAACACTGGATAAACAAATTAATTTCCTGGAACACTGGATAAACAGATTAATTTCCTGGAACACTGGATAAACAGGTAAGTATCCTGAAACCTGGATAAACAGACAAGCTTCCTATGTTTCTTTGATAAGGAAGTAACAAGCATGTAACATGTTATTTTCTATAAAGTTATTTAAACTTATAGTCAACAGCATTAGCTCTCAGTAAAGTGCACATACCTTAAATGCCAGGTTAGTTCGTGTATCCGTCAGACACTGGAGGTATGTACCAAACACATCCTCAAAAGATGGGGATGACGGTGTGGACACAAACTGTAAGATAGCAGATCCAATGTCATCATTTTTCAAACATGTCAAGACACTTTCTTCTACAATCTTCAGAAAATTTGATTAAATTTGAAACTGTCAAATAGTTTTCATTTCAACTAGATATGTAATTTTCATTTAATCTCTTTTCTTTCCTCTTAGCACTGAGTTATACATATTTTAGGTTATCATATCTATTGAGTACAATGTACTTCCAATATTTTGTAGAAGATGTAAGTATAATTCAGTCTTCTAACACAGAGGTGAAGGCCACAGTAACAAGCCGAGGACATTGAGTTATCTGGAATACTTTCTCTGAAGTCTTGCTCACTAGTTATAAACAAAGAATATACTGTCCTGTACCCTACCTTACTATCAATCAATAGGAGCTTGGTCAATAACAGCAAGGTCATACTCTGAAGGTCAATGGAAGACTTGCTATCACACCAGGTCGCTATTGTCTTCCACTGCATCAGGACACTTTTTACTACTTTCTGTCCAATACTGACAAAGAATTACACATATTTATATGTATCACCTGTCACACTTTGTCATTATAGAAGTATTTAAACAAACTGCAAAAAACATCAAAATTTCAATAGAATTGACAGATTTTATTTGAAGTCCTTTTTTTAGGGTTATCCCACCTTTTTATTATGTTTATGTTTAGAAAAATATCATCATTACTTTCAGGGATTATCGTAGAAACTCACCGTTTCCTTAGGGCCTTGTCCCTCGTCACGTGGTCTACCACAGCAACCAGGATCCGGCTCACCTTTCTACCATCTGCTCCAGCCTTCACAGCCAATGCCTTGACACACACGTCAGACTCCAATGCCATGTGACCGGCTATGACTGACTTAAACATGGAGAAGATAAGGTCTCCATGGCACTGCTCCAACCCTTTACTAGAGCCACTCACCAAAGTTTGGTCAAGTATAGCCTCCACAAGAGTAATCCCCTACAAACCAATTTTGTTGATGATGAGGTTTTGACATTAGACAATGGATGTGTTGTTCACCACCAGATCAGAGTGAACATCTCCTGAGGCTAGCTTCACAGATAAAAAGGATATTCAGTACCTAAATGGCTTTAGCCTAGAATTATTTTCATTTCATTTGTAAAGTCTGTCCTCATTTTTACTCCTTGTGAGACCCACTTTCATAGGTCCACCATTTATAAAAATATCTCCTAAACCACTGATTATTCTAAAGGAATTGACATGTTTTATCAAAATAACTTTTGTCAGAGTACAACTTACTGGTAGTCCAAGGTGGAAACTGAGAGCCAGCATGTCTTTCATGAGAGTGTGTATCACAGGTGTAAGAGTAACAGCCTCCAGTGCTCCTCCGCTATACCTACATACCACACCCTGGGCAATGACAAAAGCAGCAACAGTTAAACCGCAATATAAATTTCATCTTCATGTCAGAGACAAGCATATCATCAACATAACTTGATAAAGGGTCAGTTTAAAGGACTGTTCTTAATCTAACAAAAACAAGAGGCCCATGGGCCTTTACGCTCATCTGACTATTGAGACCTGTATATGAAAGAGGCAAAATAGGCTTTACATTTTTTTTTTTATTTTTATAGCCCAACTACTCTACAGCTTACATTGACATACTTGAAATCATATTCTTTATACATGCACTACCCAATTGCCATTACTCAAGACATCTTGCCTGTTGAAAAATATCAAGACCCTTGGCCATTCACTTATTGAGAAGTTGCTTAAGCATTTCAACACATTTGACCCCTGTGACATTGAAAGTGGGTCAATGTCATTCATATTAACAAAGTTGTTTGCCTTTCATTCTAGCATGCTATAGCCCTAATATCAACAGGCCATTTGGTTATTGAAAAGAAGACATTCAAAGATTTTAACACATTTGATCCCTGTGATCTTTCAAGAGGATCAAGGTCATTCCTTTAAACTAAGGGTCGAATCAACTTTCTGAATCTAAGAAATGTTTCCCCACTCTCCATGATGTTTCAGACCAAATTTGGTTGAAATCCATTCAAGCATTGACTCCTATTGGCCTCACCCATCAGCCCTTGGGGTCAGTCAGGGTCAATATGTGCATAACATCAAAATGTCTTCCTAAACGAATAATTTCGACCAAATGTGAACAATTTCCAGTGGAAAATAAACATTTTCCTATAAAAACTATAGTAAACCTTACCCCCGTGGGAAATGTGAGGAGACCCTGGAGTCATGAAATTTACAATTTTGGTAAAGCACCTTAAGACCCTTCCATCTACAGAGAGTGCTTCATTCTACAATATACGGATATTGAGAAGAAGATTTTTTAAGTTTCAATCAATTTTACCATCTTTGCACTAGGGGGTTGGGAACTTCAAAATTTACAGTTTTTGTGCACTTTTGGCTGAGATGAAATTTGATTGAAATAGGTTCATGGGTTTTCCAAAGGAAGAAGAAAATTTTATGATGCATGGCACACTGCATGACGTCAGACAAAAGGTGATTGCATTTTGTCATTATGGGATTTCCTCTTTCGATATCAATTTAGGCCGAAGAAATAAAACCATGTTTATCAGTTCTACAGGAGGCACGACCGTTCTTCCTACTCATGATATTCAGTATTTTTAACAGTACAACCTGGTAAAACTGCTAAAATGCCTAGATCATAACCAACAAAAACCAACAACAGATGAAACCCAACCCATACTTCACAAATAAATATTAAGGTTTACCTACAATTTAATGAGATTCAGATTTCATATAAAGTATTCTAACATAGGGCTGTATACCTGGAGGACATTAGCAAAGAGTTTCTGTGCCAAGTCATCAGCATTCTTTGATCCTGAGTGGACACTTGTCATCAGACCAGCTGTATGGAGCTGGTGATATCCACCCAGTAACTGTTGCAGGTAAATAGGATCAAGCTTAAGGTTATCCAAAGTCAATGGAAGGTGACCAGACAAATCTCTGAGTAAAAATAGAAGTGAGGTTTCATGAACATATTATGATAACTATAATATTCTTGAGTTATAACATATAGCTTTGAGATTCCAACTAACACAAATCTTAAACTCTTTGAGTATAATATTTTCTCAAAACACGAAAAACAAGAGGCTTATAGGGCCTGTATCACTCACCTCAATCTTAAAGCCCAGTAATGGTACACATGCTTGTAGGCTGAATATTTCAAATATTTCCAAGTTAAAGTTCAGTCACTTAACCTCTTTAATGGGGCAAGACCAGTGGGTATGTTTTAATATCATGACCGTCTTTCTCTTTTGATTCCCAGTAACAGTTTTTATGTTTACTGGGTTGGTATCTCAACTATATAAAAAATATGACCCGCAAATAATGTCCCTAGAGGTGTACCACACCCAAGGGTCAATTTTTACATAACGAATATGTTTATCTCTTGATGCCAAGCAACTCTATACATACATGGTTATGGGGTGGGGGATTTCAACTGTTTCCAAGATATCCGTACAAAACTAAGATCCAAGTAGTAGGGCCAGACCCCCATGGCCAAATCTTACATCATGACTGTTTTTCAGGTGTGCTAAAAACATATTTTCCTTCATTCAAACATGCTTCAGACCAAATCAGGACATTATCCTGCAATTCTTGAAGAACAAGATAGATTCATAGATTTTCCATATTGGGGCCCCATCACTTTAGCTCCAGGGGGCCAAGACACACCATTTGTACAAATCTGATTTTCCTTCACCCTAGCATGCTTCAAACTAATTTGGATAATATCCTGCAATTCCTTAGGAACAAGATGGATTTTAAAGAAATTGATAGATGTTCCCTATTTAGCCCTGCCCCTCAGGCTGGGGTGCCAGGCCAACCATTTACAAAAAAAAATGTTCCACTTTCCCCAAAGAGGCTCTGACTAAATTTGATTAAAATTCGCTGAGTTGTTCATGAATAGTTGCAATATGTAGTGAAAGTTGACAGATACCGGACATAAGATGCCCAACGCTGCGATAAACTTGTCAAAAGAAAACAGTCACCTTGTGGTTATGCAGTATTTATCTGAATTCCAAATGCATGCAAGCAGATTGCCTTCAAGTAGCAGATTTATCACTGATAGTACATACCTCTTTCCAGATAGAGTCTTTGTAAACTGACTTTTCATGTTCTCACATAATTTGGCAGGAAGCTTTCTTGACATCACCATAAGAACTTGCTCCATCTACAACAGTGATAAAAAAACATGAATGTTGACCATTTTCATAAGTCTCTACTTCAAGTAACCAAAGTGTGGGTCCATTAAGTTCCTACTTCTAAGGTATCAAAGTGTGTGTCCTCACAAGTCCCTATTTCTAAGTACCATGTTTTGCAGTTTATAAGCAGCACCCTTTCTTACAATATGGTGACCACTATTGTTGACGTTACTGATGACAGATAATGGAAGGCAGTTCTCACAAAGTGGTAAACATTACGTTGACCAAAGTTCATTGATATAACAGACAACGGAGGGCAATTTAACAAGATCTTCAGTGAAACATTTAATAAAGTTTGCAAGTAACTACAGTGTGTATCCACCAATTTGTTAATCTATCATCTCAGTGGTGAGGATCTTAGAAATTTAACATAGATGTATCACCTATACACAAAGGCTAAAAAAAGAAAAAAGACTTACCTCCCTTGGTAGATTCTTCATGACCTCTACCTCTCCAAGATTGAAACCAACAGAGCCTGGCTCTACCACACACATACACACCATTTCCCAGAGTGCATCACTCCAAACCTCTGGTGGAACTGCCTATCACCCAGAATGATTACATCACTTACAGTTTGTGTTACAGAGTTTTAAATAAGAATGTACATTGTTTTTCACATTTCTTATTTCCTTTTCCTTCATTAAAAATGCTTTCTAATATAAAACAAATTATGTACTTTTTAATTTGATAATCTTAAAATATCCACTGTACATGTTCATAAAATATCAATAAGCATGTAATGTCAGACTCTCCAGCTTCAAGTATGACCTCCTATTACCTTATTCAAGTCCTTTGATTCACAAGTGGCGACCACCACAGAGAGGAAATTCAAAAGACGGATGACAACTGTACATTTTTCCCTGAAAGTTTGAATGTGACAACTGTTAGTAAAATCAGCACTACATCAATAACCCCTGCATATGCAAAGACCTCTTTACACCAAATGGTCAACACTCCATGAAAAAAAGTCAAAAACAGTTGAAAATAATTTTTGGCATTCCCTATCATACAAAATCAGGTATAAATCAGACTATTTTATATTCATTTTTTACTCTATACATTAATGTTGTGTCTGTTAAGATATTTATAATAACCTTTAATAGCATTTCTTCAGATGTACAGGGTATGTGTTTGAAACCTACTTGAGTTGAAAGTATAACAATATTTTGTTCAGCAAAAACTGATCTGAAAGGACAAGCCAGAACTGTCTGAGGTAATGGTAGGTTTGCCTTCCATCCCTCAGTAACAAGCCAGAACTGTCTGAGGTAATGGTAGGTTTGCCTTCCATCCCTCAGTAACAACTCAGAACTGTCTGAGGTAATGGTAGGTTTGCCTCCCATCCCTCAGTAACAAGTAACAAGTCAGAACTGTCTGAGGTAATGGTAGGTTTGCCTTCCATCCCCAGTAACACTGTCTGGTAACAAGTCCAGGAACTGTCTGAGGTAATGAGGTAAGGTTTGCCTTCCATCCCTCAGTAACAAGCCAGAACTGTCTGAGGTAATGGTAGGTTTGCCTTCCATCCCTCAGTAACAAGCCAGAACTGTCTGAGGGACAAGCCAGAACTGTCTGAGGGACAAGCCAGAACTGTCTGAGGTAATGGTAGGTTTGCCTTCCATCCCTCAGTAACAAGCCAGAACTGCCTTAGACAATCACTCAGGAACAAGTCAGAACTGTCTGAGGTAATGGTAGGTTTGCCTTCCATCCCTCAGTAACAAGCCAGAACTGTCTGAGGTAATGGTAGGTTTGCCTTCCATCCCTCAGTAACAAGCCAGAACTGTCTGAGGTAATGGTAGGTTTGCCTTCCATCCCTCAGTAACAAGCCAGAACTGTCTGAGGTAATGGTAGGTTTGCCTTCCATCCCTCAGTAACAAGTCAGAACTGTCTGAGGTAATGGTAGGTTTGCCTTCCATCCCTCAGTAACAAGTCAGAACTGTCTGAGGGACAAGCCAGAACTGTCTGAGGTAATGGTAGGTTTGCCTTCCATCCCTCAGTAACAAGCCAGAACTGTCTGAGGTAATGGTAGGTTTGCCTTCCATCCCTCAGTAACAAGTCAGTACTGTCTGAGGTAATGGTAGGTTTGCCTTCCATCCCTCAGTAACAAGCCAGAACTGTCTGAGGGACAAGCCAGAACTGTCTGAGGTAATGGTAGGTTTGCCTTCCATCCCTCAGTAACAAGTCAGTACTGTCTGAGGTAATGGTAGGTTTGCCTTCCATCCCTCAGTAACAAGTCAGAACTGTCTGAGGGACAAGCCAGAACTGTCTGAGGTAATGGTAGGTTTGCCTTCCATCCCTCAGTAACAAGTCAGAACTGTCTGAGGTAATGGTAGGTTTGCCTTCCATCCCTCAGTAACAAGTCAGAACTGTCTGAGGTAATGGTAGGTTTGCCTTCCATCCCTCAGTAACAAGCCAGAACTGTCTGAGGTAATGGTAGGTTTGCCTTCCATAACAAGTCAGTGAGGGACAACAGAACTGTCTGAGGTAATGGTAGGTTTGCCTTCCATCCCTCAGTAACAAGTCAGAACTGTCTGAGGTAATGGTAGGTTTGCCTTCCATCCCTCAGTAACAAGCCAGAACTGTCTGAGGTAATGGTAGGTTTGCCTTCCATCCCTCAGTAACAAGCCAGAACTGTCTGAGGTAATGGTAGGTTTGCCTTCCATCCCTCAGTAACAAGCCAGAACTGTCTGAGGTAATGGTAGGTTTGCCTTCCATCCCTCAGTAACAAGTCAGAACTGTCTGAGGTAATGGTAGGTTTGCCTTCCATCCCTCAGTAACAAGCCAGAACTGTCTGAGGTAATGGTAGGTTTGCCTTCCATCCCTCAGTAACAAGTCAGAACTGTCTGAGGTAATGGTAGGTTTGCCTTCCATCCCTCAGTAACAAGCCAGAACTGTCTGAGGTAATGGTAGGTTTGCCTTCCATCCCTCAGTAACAAGCCAGAACTGTCTGAGGTAATGGTAGGTTTGCCTTCCATCCCCTCAGTCACAAGCCAGAACTGTCTGAGGTAATGGTAGGTTTGCCTTCCATCCCTCAGTAACAAGCCAGAACTGTCTGAGGTAATGGTAGGTTTGCCTTCCATCCCTCAGTAACAAGCCAGAACTGTCTGAGGTAATGGTAGGTTTGCCTTCCATCCCTCAGTAACAAGCCAGAACTGTCTGAGGGACAAGCCAGAACTGTCTGAGGTAATGGTAGGTTTGCCTTCCATCCCTCAGTAACAAGCCAGAACTGTCTGAGGTAATGGTAGGTTTGCCTTCCATCCCTCAGTAACAAGCCAGAACTGTCTGAGGTAATGGTAGGTTTGCCTTCCATCCCTCAGTAACAAGCCAGAACTGTCTGAGGGACAAGCCAGAACTGTCTGAGGTAATGATAGGTTTGCCTTCCATCCCTCAGTAACAAGTCAGTACTGTCTGAGGTAATGGTAGGTTTGCCTTCCATCCCTCAGTAACAAGCCAGAACTGTCTGAGGTCAGAGTAATTATGACCTCCATCCCTCAGTAACAAGCCAGAACTGTCTCCATCTTTTTGAAATCAACATTTCATTTAATAATCTAATCCTTAACAACTGTGATGAGACTGTCTGAGGTATTAAGTCTTAAAGTTTGTCTGTTGCTATGATGCTCCACCTGTAATAGGACATCGTTTATAAATCCTTCACTGTCTCTAACAAAAAGGAAACCTATGTCATAAAGATTAAAATTGTCTATATTTTTATTCTATATTATCATATTATATTATATTATATACATATTGTTTATATAGAAATTAAGGTGAAAGGTCGTGGCTGTTACGGTACTGTACCTTGTATTAATGGGGTCATCCTGTGAAGTAATCTCATACACATGTGTCTACATTCTGTCTGTGGTCGACCACACTGACGCATGAACCAGCGTACACAGATATCAATAGTGATCTTACTCCACTGACTAGGGAAAGAAACAACATTCATTATTAACATCTAAAGTTATAAAAAAATCCAGATTCTGAGACAAGTTTTCTTCATCATTAACATCCCATGTTCTATACAAGGAATGCTTTGATACTAAAATCAGGTAGAAAACTTGGTATAAGAACAATATGAAATAATGATGTACTAATTTTCTAAATCATCAGTCTTTTACTGGCCTTGTATTTAAGACAGCTTTAAAAATACTGGTCCAGAACAAACTTATACTGGACTTCAGCAGAAGTTTTCACTGATAATCTTATCTCAACATCTTTTCATTGTTGTAACACAAAAAGTTCAAAATATAAAGTGAAATCACCTGTTTTTTCACATGAGATGTGAACTTGAGAGAGAAGTTATTTTTTCTTACCTGGGCTCTGTACGAAGTTTACTTTCCTTCCTTAAGATGTCTGCCTTTTTACATATGATCTTTTCTAAGTGTTCCAGGGCTTTGCATGCTTGTTCTTGTGTACCTTGTAAGTATAACCACGGAGATAATGTAGGACAGAGAGAACCATTAAAGAACGTAGTGGTAGAGATACAATATATAGTTGAGAAAACGTGACAAGAAAACACCCCTGCCAATCACAAACATCCTCTGAGAAATCAACAAGGAGCATTATAACCTGGTGTCCAGCTTAAAGACACTTCACTTGATATATATGATTTCACAATGTTTGTAATAAAATGAATATCCAAGCACTGAATCAGTGACATGTTCCTCAAATCATAGAATCATTCTAGAAACTAGAGATATATTTTTATGACACGGGTAAGGTTGCAACTGTAAAACTTTAAATCTCAGTATCTACATTTTATTACCTTCATACAGAAAGTGTATCTATTCTCTGGGGAACACTTAAAGTTCATTCATTACTTACACTCAATCCTAAACAGCAAAAAAAAAATTATTCATTTATAGAATTGTCTATCTGTAATAAAGAGAAATTCAGAACCAATTCTAAGATTGGTTTCCATGGGAAATGCACACTCAGGTATTCTCACACTCACTGGCCGCTTTAACGATGTAAACAATTAGACAACTAGATGTATTGGAGAGACACATACGCCTGTACAAGAAACCAAGGAGAGCTTTGTAATTGTCCAGTGTTATAGGCTTTGTTAAGAGGTAAACTCACGTAATAAATCAATGTTAAATAATCTGAAGCAAAATACAGCAGAGTTTTTGTTTTTGAATTTTTGGGGGGATTTTTTTTATGAAAATTTTACAAAAATTCAAAGTTAAATGGCAATAAATAAAAAAAAATTAAATTAAATTAACTGACCCTAAGCAATTCATATCTTTACCTGCATATCACCACTATACAACTACATACCATACTACAGTTTTATATCTATATATGCTAAAGAGAAGATGAGCAGAAATGTGACAGAATGACAGACAAAGGTAGCATGTATATCCACCTGACCATAAAATGGTAGTAACATACAAACTGTACACCAGTCATTGATAATGTTTCTGCAATGATGGGACTTCATGAAACATGTTCACATACACTATTGATGTACTTCTTTTCCCAAACACTCATGTCCATCTTCGGAACTTACATTTTATTTTCTTAAGGCAATTTTACATACAAATCAAACACACTAATGATTATCATCCTGCATCGTTAATACAGCTGGGAGTTTTATACAGTGATCATATCATCACTGATAAATACATTGTTTTATTGTGACTTTGTTGGGGGTGTATGATAGTTTTCCACTACTGTGTTTATTGTATGCTATAGTTACCTAAAGACTTTTCATCCTTATGAGCAATTGCCAGACTCTCGACGAAGTGAACCAAGATCTGGAACGTGAATGTATCCACCAAAGTGTTGTCCTCCCTGGAAAAATTTACATTACTAAAAATGTAGGGACTGGAAAATATAGTAAACAACACAGAATATTTCAAGTTGTACAAGTGATAGAATCTTATAACAGTGTATGAAAAAAAGGTAACACCTTATACCCATACAACATTGTATGATACAAAGTTATCACCTTATACCCATACAACATTGTATGACAGAAAGTTAACATCTTATACCCATACAACATTGTATGACAGAAAGTTAACATCTTATACCCATACAACATTGTATGATAGAAAGTTAACATCTTATACCCATACAACATTGTATGATAGAAAGTTAACATCTTATACCCATACAACATTGTATGACATAAAGTTAACATCTTATACCCATACAACATTGTATGACAGAAAGTTAACACCTTATACCCATACAACATTGTATGACAGAAAGTTAACATCTTATACCCATACAACATTGTATGACATAAAGTTAACATCTTATACCCATACAACATTGTATGATAAAAAGTTAACATCTTATACCCATACAACATTGTATGACAACATTACAACATTGTATGATAGAAAGTTAACATCTTATACCCATACAACATTGTATGACAGAAAGTTAACACCTTATACCCATACAACATTGTATGATAGAAAGTTAACACCTTATACCCATACAACATTGTATGACAGAAAGTTAACCACCTTATACCCATACAACATTGTATGACAGAAAGTTAACACCTGATACCCATACAACATTGTATGACAGAAAGTTAACATCTTATACCCATACAACATTGTATGACAGAAAGTTAACACCTTATACCCATACAACATTGTATGATAGAAAGTTAACATCTTATACCCATACAACATTGTATGACAGAAAGTTAACACCTTATACCCATACAACATTGTATGATAGAAAGTTAACACCTTATACCCATACAACATTGTATGACAGAAAGTTAACACCTTATACCCATACAACATTGTATGACAGAAAGTTAACATCTTATACCCATACAACATTGTATGATAGAAAGTTAACATCTTATATCCATACAACATTGTATGATAGAAAGTTAACACCTTATATCCATACAACATTGTATGATAGAAAGGTAACACCTTATACCCATACAACATTGTATGATAGAAAGGTAACACCTTATGACCATACAACATTGTCATACATCAAGATCTGTTCATGCTGCAGGATAAAAAGGGTTAGGTAACAGTGTGAATGTGTATATAGAAGAATGACTATACCTGAACACTGTGTATATGTTGTTAAACGCCAGAGCTGCACCAAGCCTCTTGAAGGCGCTGGGATGTAGGGCATAAGTAAAGAGTCTCTTCAACACTGACTTAGCATTGATAGGGCTCGTCTCCATCTAAAACCAAACAACTTATATTATTTACTGTTAATAGTAGTTGTGTATACTGTTTACATAAGTAATACACTTACATTGTTAAAAGTACAGTGTGAACAATATACTTAAATTGTTAAAAGTACAGTATGAACAATATACTTACATTGTTAAAAGTCCAGTATGAACAATATACTTACATTGTTAAAAGTCCAGTATGAACAATATACTTACATTGTTAAAAGTACAGTATGAACAATATACTTACATTGTTAAAAGTACAGTGTGAACAATATACTTACATTGTTAAAAGTACAGTGTGAACAATATACTTACATTGTTAAAAGTACAGTATGAACAATATACTTACATTGTTAAAAGTACAGTGTGAACAATATACTTACATTGTTAAATGTACAGTATGAACGATATACTTACATTGTTAAAAGTACAGTATGAACGATATACTTACATTGTTAAATGTACAGTATAAACAATATACTTACACTGTTAAAAGTACAGTATAAACAATATACTTAAATTGTTAAAAGTACAGTGTGAACAATACCTACTTTTTTGGATGTGTGCTTAATGGACCACTTCATAAATTCTCGAAGACAAGTAGCACAAAAATCTCTTAAGCTGGTGTCTGTAGGTTGAATGATACCATCCTGGAAAATAATATACATATTCAGAATAATTTCTCTAAGCAGTCATTTCTGGTTGTATTTGCTTCTTGAAGTATAGATATCTAGGTAAAACTGCTGATCATTGAGAAATATATATCTAAATCTTTAACAATAGTACCACTCCATTAACTTCAGTACGTATCTATCTATTAACATGTAATAAGTTGTTTTATACACTCCTGATACTGATACCAAAAGAAAAAAAACCTACAAAGATGGCATCCAGTAAAGACATGGTTTCTTTACTCTCTGCTTTCTTGCTGCCAGTGAACCAATGGATGATCTGCATTGTCAGGGGCTCAAACAGTTGCTTAGCAACCTATAAACAGAGATTTATTACAAACTATTATATAGCATATTAAACAAAATACCCTTCCTTTCACTGTTTCACATTTTTTCATGCCTCTTTCTAATAGTTAGAAATTGATATTCCAGGTCAGGTACAGGTTTTTCTAACCCTTTTGAGAGTTCATTAAATCCTTATCAATCACATACTTTACCTAGAATGGCTGCCAACGTCTATACCACCACTCACATTCTCATATGTATAGTATATTTACCAGTTCTACATCACAAGCCAGTTGCAGAAGCACAGGAAACAGCTTCTTGTACAGTGGTGCCATGGAACAACGCTTGGCCGCTTCTCCAGGTTGGGTGGCACCTCGTCCCAGGGAAAACAGTACCAGAGAGTGAAGTAGCTCACAAGCAGCTACCTTGGTCTGGCGATCACTTGACTTGGTAGCTAACATAACAACGTGTGGCAGGAACGGATCTATTGTCAGGGAAATAAAATGACATTTGTACCCCAGAGATGAGTGGTCTTCAGGACTAGGTCCAATCAAAGTACGGAATGTTTAATGCTATATGAGTCAAAATGTCTCAGTAATGGAAATTTACCATTTCATGACCAAAACTGGTAAACTTGGCAATCAGAATCTGACTTTAAACTCAATTAACTACTGTATAATTGTTTAATGTCACAAGTGTAATATTCTGTGAATTTCCCAGGTTATACAAATTTCTATTGATAAATATTTTAAATTTAGAAGGCTATTAATAATTTTGTAATGTTTTCATGAAGAAATCACTGACTACTACGCAGCAATGCATCTTTAGTTAGAAGTAGTCACAATAGAGCTACAATATATGTCTGCGATTTCCCAGATACTATTTTGTTGGTTTTTTACAGTAAATGTCTCTTTCAAAGAGTTAACAATGTATGTATGTGTATCTTAAATCAAACATTTTGATGTTATTTTCGTTTTCCAATATCTGTTGTTTTTTACTAACTAATTTATGTATGTGTATGTTTTTTCTAATAAGAGGACTATGTGTTTGATAAGCCATTGGCTTCACATGTATTTATCCTCAGAAAATGAAGATTGTTATTATAAAAATATTTTGTTAGGTATTTAATTTTGAAATAACTTCATTGTCTGCAATTATTGTTAACTTAAAACCCCTACAAATATCACTAACTATACAGTATAGCTTTATCACCAAAGCATTTCTAACAGTTACTTTTTCTTTCTACAAAGATAAACACTTTTTCCCCTTTTCACTCTCGACAAATGTTTGAAGTCAATACTCAACAACAGATGGCATTTCTAAAATGTTTGAATAAAAACTCTACCCAAGTAGATGGTGGGTTTCATGTCAATGAAGGGCATATCAAACTTGAGATGGTGTTGTGTGTCCCAAGCAATGGCCTGCTTGCTGATCTCTGTCTCACTGTCTGCCAGCAAGGCATGGTTCTGACCACCTCCGAGGCTTCCAAGGTACTGCATCACACGTAGCTTCACTTGAGAAAGCTCAGACTTGTATCCCTGGTAAAGTCAACGCACATATAATGTTTCAAGGTTTCATTTCTCAGCTCAGACTCGTAGCCCTAATAAAAGTCCTCGTTTTATACACAATTACATTGTTACATTTTTCCTTAAAGAAAAAAAATCTTCATGCAAGCAGAAAAATAATTATTTTAAAACTTTGACCACTATCACCTGTAATAGGTCCTGCTATTCTGTAGACCCTTGATTTACAAGAAATGAGTTTTCTGTTGGACCCTGCCCTGAGACCCATCAGTTTAACAAAATCAGCTCCCATACCTTCATCCCAACAGAAGGATCTGAAAGCAGCACCTCTATTTAACGTCGTGAGCCCCACCCCTCCATCTTCTTCTTAAGGACTATTTATATAAAGTTCTGTACATTTCACCCAATTATGCTTCTGACTAAATTTGGACAAAATCCTGTTATTCCTACGGAAGAAGTATTTTTTAAGAATTTGCCATACATCCCCTTTTGGCTCACTCCTCAGTTCCCAGGAAGATCAGCCACTCCATTTGTACAATTTTGAACATCTTTCACCCCTAAAAGTTTCCAATCAAATGTTTGTGATATCCAGTTCTAGAGAAGAGGTAATTTACAGCAATAAGTCAAACAGCCCGCTTCTGGCCAAACCCCTCAGTCCTCTTGGGGGTCAGCCCCATCATTTACCGTAAATTTGCGGGTATAGTGCACACTCCAGTATAGTGTGCAGGTGCTTTTTTGGGGTCAGATTCAAAAAAAAAAAAAAAAAGGTTTTCTACAGAAAGATGAATTGATTACTGGTTACCGTGACGAAACATGACTGGTCGAATCATTATCTGAAATAAGTGATGTGGACAGACAGGATAATGGCATAACAGTATATGACAGTATAATATCCTGTTTCAATCTATGAGCAGGGGATGAAAATTCAAAATGGCCTCTGGTTGCCATCTTTGATATCTGATCACACTAAATATTTGTTAATTGTCCCTATAGAACCAATATCATAAAGAAAACAAAATCTTCTGTATTATACCACGTCTATACTTACCTTTTTCACCTCATCTTTTTTGGGTCCTCTGATCATCCGTACAGCTAGCTTCTTCCTACCCCTTCCTGTCTTACTCTTGGTCATGTTCACTGTGCCATCCACCGACACTTCCTCTGCACCTGTAAGTTCCATTAATACTTACTGTATAACTCTAAATCCCATTCATACCTACTGTATAACTCTAAATCCCATCCATACCTACTGTATCACTCTAAATCCCATTCATACCTACTGTATCACTCTAAATCCCATCCATACCTACTGTATCACTCTAAATCCCATCCATACCTATTGTATCACTCTAAATCCCATCCATACCTACTGTATCACTCTAAATCCCATCCATACCTACTGTATCACTCTAAATCCCATTCATACCTACTGTATCACTCTAAATCCCATCCATACCTACTGTATCACTCTAAATCCCATTCATACCTACTGTATCACTCTAAATCCCATCCATACCTACTGTATCACTCTAAATCCCATCCATACCTACTGTATCACTCTAAATCCCATCCAAACCTATTGTATCACTCTAAATCCCATCCATACCTACTGTATCACTCTAAATCCCATCCATACCTACTGTATCACTCTAAATCCCATCCATACTTGTTGTATCACTCGAAATCCCATCCATACTTATTGTATCACTCTAAATCTCATCCATACCTACTGTATCACTCTAAATCCCATCCATACTTATTGTATCACTACAAATCCCATCCATACCTAATGTATCACTCTAAATCCCATTCATACCTACTGTATCACTCTAAATCCCATCCATACCTACTGTATCACTCTAAATCCCATCCATACCTACTGTTTCACTAAATCCCATTCATACCTACTGTATCACTCCAAATCCCATCCATACCTACTGTATCACTCTAAATCCCATCCATACCTACTGTATCACTCTAAATCCCATCCATACCTACTGTATCACTCTAAATCCCATCCATACCTACTGTATCACTCTAAATCCCATCCAAACCTATCGTATAACTCTAAATCTCATCCATACCTACTGTATCACTCTAAATCCCATCCAAACCTATTGTATCACTCTAAATCCCATCCATACCTACTGTATCACTCTAAATCCCATCCAAACCTATTGTATCACTCTAAATCTCATCCATACCTATTGTATCACTCTAAATCCCATCCATACCTACTGTATCACTCTAAATCCCATCCAAACCTATTGTATCACTCTAAATCCCATCCATACCTACTGTATCACTCTAAATCCCATCCATACCTACTGTATCACTCTAAATCCCATCCATACCTACTGTATCACTCTAAATCCCATCCATACCTACTGTATCACTCTAAATCCCATCCATACCTACTGTATCACTCTAAATCCCATCCAAACCTATTGTATCACTCTAAATCCCATCCATACCTACTGTATCACTCTAAATCCCATCCAAACCTATTGTATCACTCTAAATCCCATCCATACCTACTGTATCACTCTAAATCCCATCCATACCTACTGTATCACTCTAAATCCCATCCATACCTACTGTATCACTCTAAATCCCATCCATACCTATTGTATCACTCTAAATCCCATCCATACCTACTGTATCACTCTAAATCCCATCCATACTTATTGTATCACTCTAAATCCCATCCATGAACAACCTTGAAATTTCAGTCAATATAACAGATTGATGGCCTTGCCCATTGGCCTCTAGGGGTCAAGCAAGGTCAATATGTGCATCTCATCAACTGTCAGCTTATACTAATAATTCTGACCAAGTGTGAACAATTTCTAAAAGAAAATACACAAATAATATTCAAAAATGTATCAAAAATGTGATATATAAACTAACGTAAACTTTGCCCCCTCCCCAAGGGGACCCTGGGGTCATGAAATTTACAATTTTGGTAAAGCACCTAAGACCTTTCCATCTATGAAGGGTATTTTATTCTACCATACCTGGGATCTCAGAAGATTTTTGAAGTTTCAATCAATTTGACCTTTTTTGGTCCCATCCCTCAGGCCCTTGGCAATTGGGTACCGTTTAATTCACAATTTTGTTGCATCTTTAGCCAAAGAAGGTTTTTGTACAATTTCATTGCAATCGGGTCAAGAATATTCCAGAAGAAGTAGAAAATGTTAAAAGTTTATGACACATGATGCCAGACAAAAGGGGATCCAAATAGTTCATCCCGAGACTTTGTCTCAGGTGACCTAAAAACTTTCTCATTTCCCTTAAATGTAATCAACAGTTGAATTGTTTTCCATAATATACTAAGCTTTAAACAAGACTTCTAGTTAACCTTATTTACTGTGAAGTAGGTGTCTAAATAAGTAAAGCCATATCTAGGGGTAGTGTAACTGGTAGCCAGCAGTTACCTTTGTCAGCTGTTTTGAGGTAGGTATCAAGGTGAGGCAGTATCTTGGGGTAATGTGGCTGTATGACAGCAGCAGGCAAATTGTCTGACCAGTACTCCAGTGCATCCAGTGCCACCTTTGCCAAGGGCAGATAACTTAGACCCATCTTCAGAGTTATCTAGAAGAAAGAAAAAAACTGTAGATTGAAAAATTTCAAAATCTAAAAAATTTTTTATACTGATTCATCAACTCATTTTTCTTTAAACTTATATGTGTAATTTAATGAATGGTTGAGTGGCACAGTGGTAACACACTTGCCTTTCACCTAGTTGTACAGGGTTTGATTCCAGGAACAGATGTGAAGACGTATGGTGTCACCTGCCCGACCATGTGGGTTTTCCCCGGTAATCCAATTTCCTCCCACAGTAAAATCCCCACACTCTTTCATGCGGCCAACAAGAGTGATTAACATCAGCTGAAAGCCTGTTTTGCACTTATTGTAAAATAAACAAAATTTATATTTATTTTACATACCTGTTGGACTGGTTTCCACCTCCATCACCTCTTTACTTACTTGTATGAATGGTACCACTTCTTTATTTTCCCGTATGACTTAAACAACCTCTTTGTTTACCTGTATGACAGGTATCCCCTCCACTGACTGTTTACTTATCAGTTGACTGATAACACCATCACCTTTTTACTCCCCTGTATGACTGATACCACTTCTATACTTACGTGTATGACTGGTACCACACTTTACCTACCTGTATGACTGGTACCACCTCTTTACTTACCTGTATGACTGGTACCACCTCTTTACTTACCTGTATGACTGGTACCACCTATTTACCTACCTGTATGACTGGTACCACCTCTTTACTTACCTGTATGACTGGTACCACCTCTTTATCTATCTGTATGACTGGTACCACTTCTTTACTTACCTGTATGACTAGTACCACCTCTTTACTTACCTGTATGACTGGTACCACCTCTTTACTTATCTGTATGACTGGTACCATCTCTTTACTTACCTGTATGACTGGTACCACCTATTTACCTACCTGTATGACTGGTACCACCTCTTTACTTACCTGTATGACTGGTACCACCTCTTTACTTACCTGTATGACTGGTACCACCTCTTTACCTACCTGTATGACTGGTACCACACTTTACTTACCTGTATGACTGGTACCACCTCTTTACTTATCTGTATGACTGGTACCTCCTCTTAAATTACCTGTATTACAGGTACCACACTTTACTTACCTGTATGACTGGTACCACCTCTTTACTTACCTGTATGATTGGTACCACCTCTTTACTTATCTGTATGACTGGTACCACTTCTATACTTACCTCTATGACTGGTACCACCTCTTTATTTACATGTATGACAGGTACCACACTTTACTTAACTGTATGACTGGTACCACCTCTTTACTTACCTGTATGATTGGTACCACCTCTTTACTTACATGTATGACAGGTACCACACTTTACTTACCTGTATGACTGGTACCACTTCTATACTTACCTGTATGACTGGTACCACCTCTTTACTTACCTGTATGACTGGTACCACTTCTATACTTACCTGTATGACTGGTACCACCTCTTTATTTACATGTATGACAGGTACCACACTTCACTTACCTGTATGACAGGTACCACTTCCACCATCTGCTGGGCAATGATTTCCTTGGGAAGAGCCAGGATGAAGGTCAAACAAGATGCCAGAAGATCATCCTTATACTGCTTCATTCTCACTAGCACCTGTCATTATAAGATTTCAGGTTTACATTCCTCAAAAACAGGCAAACCAAAAGGATCGTTCAAATTTTAGTTCTTCAGTAATGTTCAACCACAACCAATCATAAAGAAAATCAAAGATATTACTGTTAACTTTAATCAGTGAAGATGTATACCTCTTTAGAAAATTTTTTCATGAGTAGATAAGCACTGTCACGCTGTGTCCCTGTGATCATCTGCTGGTCCACATCCATCGAGACAGTCGATGACTTCTTAGGAGAGCCAGTCACAACAACATCCTGCACAATAAACACCACAAGTTAGAGAGTAAAAAATAATTTACTGATATACTCAAATTACAATATACAGTATTATAGATAACTCCATGTCCTGTGGGGCTATACAGTCTGTAGCTTACAATACATATACAGTATTATAGATAACTCCATGTCCTGTGGGGCTATACAGTCTGTAGCTTACAATACATATACAGTATTATAGATAACTCCATGTCATGTGGGACTATACAGTCTGTAGCTTACAATACATATACAGTATTATAGATAACTCCATGTCATGTGGGGCTATACAGTCTGTAGCTTACAATACATATACAGTATTATAGATAACTCCATGTCCTGTGGGGCTATACAGTCTGTAGCTTACAATACATATACAGTATTATAGATAACTCCATGTCATGTGGGACTATACAGTCTGTAGCTTACAATACATATACAGTATTAAAGATAACTCCATGTCATGTGGGGCTATACAGTCTGTAGCTTACAATACATATACAGTATTATAGATAACTCCATGTCATGTGGGACTATACAGTCTGTAGCTTACAATACATATACAGTATTATAGATAACTCCATGTCATGTGGGGCTATACAGTCTGTAGCTTACAATACATATACAGTATTATAGATAACTCCATGTCATGTGGGACTATACAGTCTGTAGCTTACAATACATATACAGTATTATAGATAACTCCAGGTCCTGTGGGACTATACAGTCTGTAGCTTACAATACATATACAGTATTATAGATAACTCCATGTCATGTGGGGCTATACAGTCTGTAGCTTACAATACATATACAGTATTATAGATAACTCCATGTCATGTGGGGCTATACAGCATGTAGCTTACAATACATATACAGTATTATAGATAACTCCATGTCATGTGGGGCTATACAGCCTGTAGCTTACAATACATATACAGTATTATAGATAACTCCATGTCATGTGGGGCTATACAGTCTGTAGCTTACAATACATATACAGTATTATAGATAACTCCAGGTCCTGTGGGACTATACAGTCTGTAGCTTACAATACATATACAGTATTATAGATAACTCCATGTCATGTGGGACTATACAGTCTGTAGCTTACAATACATATACAGTATTATAGATAACTCCATGTCATGTGGGACTATACAGTCTGTAGCTTACAATACATATACAGTATTATAGATAACTCCATGTCCTGTGGGACTATACAGTCTGTAGCTTACAATACATACACAGTATTATAGATAACTCCAGGTCCTGTGGGACTATACAGTCTGTAGCTTACAATACATATACAGTATTATAGATAACTCCATGTCATGTGGGACTATACAGTCTGTAGCTTACAATACATATACAGTATTATAGATAACTCCATGTCCTGTGGGGCTATACAGTCTGTAGCTTACAATACATATACAGTATTATAGATAACTCCAGGTCCTGTGATTCCAAAATATTTTCACTGAGTGGCTTTTGTCTATTCTACTGATTTCTATTGTGTGCAAACACTTAATGATGTAATGTGTTTACTGAGAGAATGAATTATAGGTTATCAAAAATTTGTTTTGATAAAACATCAGATAAAAACCCAATTTTTTCTTCAATTCTAAGACAGAAAAATATTTGATATTTAAATAAAAGTTAAAAACTAGTTTTATGAATATTAAAAAAAAAAGAATTTTTTTAGTATTTATCAACAATAAACAGGTGTAAATTGTTTTCCTGGCAGGTACAGTCACGTAAAATAATCTTACCTGGACCATCAAGTATTCTTCACAAACAAAAAATCAAACACCTTTTACTGTTCTGTTTAACATTCCAAAATTTACAACCAGAATTTCAAACAACTTTTAATGTTCTGATCAACATTGCAAAATTTACAAACAAAAGAATCAAACACCTTTTACTGTTCTGTTAAACAAATTCCATGTAAAAAAATCATGACTCATCACTCCATTCCTCTGTCCTCTCCTAGATATATACATACACCAAGACAATTAGAAAGTCTGTCTTTGCTAGATTTTCTAATTCATTACATGTTTTTATAAGAACTCAGAGAATCATGAACTAAAATCAATGTAGATGCAGGTACAGTCTATCAATTCCAGGTAAAACGTTTCAAGCTATATACACTGGAAACTGAATAGCCTTGTAACCAAATTGATCCTACAATCAGTAGTTTCAGAAACACAGCCATTGTTTATAGATGGACTGTAATGCAAGTTGTCAAGATACAATAATGCCATTTATACAACTTTTTTTAGAAGAAATAAAACTAAAACACATGTAAATTTGGTTAAGTAAAATGCTTGGTACAAAACATACCTTGAAAAAGTTGAGCTTGTTTGAAATCTTCATACTCATTGCCAGAAGCTTGTAAAATCCACTGACCAATGGATTACTGCAAAGAAATTACATACAATTTGCTGCAAAAACAATCACCCAGCATTTAGCTACTGTAGAAATAATGTACGGATTACCATACAAACCACAGATATATTAACCAAACTCTTAAAATATTCAGATAAATTATACAGGAATTATTATATACCACATCTTATAACAACTCGTCTTACATAACAAAAATTTGTACATCTTTCATGTAAGAGATTTACTTACTCAGTAGAACAAAGAATGACTTTGTGACAGAATGTGAAAATCCACTTCTCAAACAGTTCATAGTGGGCTGTAGGTAGTAAGTCTCTGTAAACATGTATATATTAAAAGTCCACAAATAATACCATATTATTATGTAGTTTTACAAAACATCCACAAACAATTAACATAGTGAAAGTAGCTAAATAGTACATGTATATCTATACAAAGCTTCCTGTGGTGATTGTAATATCACAGTTTTACAAAATTCCCACATGCAAAGCAGTATATAGCCAAACAATATGTCCAGACACAATACTGAATGGAGTTTAACAGTAAGTTCAGAAATAAAACTGAATGGACACTATGTCCTCGGTCACAACAAAATTCTGAATTGGGACATTAAAACTGTACTGTGTAAGGCATGTGCTAATTGCATGCACACTTTGTGAAATACCTATTTCTTCATTGTGGTTTTGTTACAAGAAACACACATGCCAAATATGAAAGCCCTACATCTTATGGTGCAAAAGTTATGGCAAATGTTATAATTTTTCAAATGTAGGTCAAAGGTCAAGGTCACATGATCACAAGTTCTGGTACCACAGGAAACATCTTTATCCATTCTGGGTTATAAATACATCACCAGGAACAATACTAAATGGTGTTTAACAATCAGTCCAGAAACAATACTAAATGGTGTTTAACAATAACACTATGTACAGAAACAATACTAAATGGAGTTTAACAATAAGCCCTGAAACAATACTAAATGGAGTTTAACAATAAGCCCTGAAACAATACTAAATGGTGTTTAACAATAAGCCCAGAAACAATACTATATGGAGTTTAACAATAAGTCCAGAAACAATACTAAATGGAGTTTAACAATAAGTCCAGAAACAATACTAAATGGAGTTTAACAATAAGTCCAGAAACAATACTAAATGGTGTCTAACAATAAGCCCAGAAACAATACTAAATGGTGTTTAACAATAAGTACAAAAACAATACTAAATGGTGTTTTACAATAAGCCCAGAAACAATACTAAATGGTGTTTTACAATAAGCCCAGAAACAATACTAAATGGAGTTTAACAATAAGTCCAGAAACAATACTAAATGGTGTTTAACAATAAGTCCAGAAACAATACTAAATGGTGTTTAACAATAAGTCCAGAAACAATACTAAATGGTGTTTTACAATAAGTCCAGAAACAATACTAAATGGAGTTTAACAATAAGTCCAGAAACAATACTAAATGGTGTTTTACAATAAGCCCAGAAACAATACTAAATGGTGTTGAACAATAAGTCCAGAAACAATACTAAATGGTGTTTTACAATAAGCCCAGAAACAATACTAAATGGTGTTGAACAGTAAGTCCAGAAACAATACTAAATGGAGTTTAACCACTAACACTATGTACAGAAACAATACTAAATGGAGTTTAACAATAAGTCCAGAAACAATACTAAATGGTGTTTTACAATAAGCCCAGAAATAATACTAAATGGAGTTTAACCAATAACACTATGTACAGAAACAATACTAAATGGTGTTTAACAATAAGTCCAGAAACAATACTAAATGGAGTTTAACCAATAACACTATGTACAGAAACAATACTAAATGGAGTTTAACAATAAGTCCAGAAACAATACTAAATGGTGTTTAACAATAAGCCCAGAAACAATACTAAATGGAGTTTAACAATAAGTTCAGAAACAATACTAAATGGAGTTTAACCAATAACACTATGTACAGAAACAATACTAAATGGTGTTTAACAATAAGCCCAGAAACAATACTAAATGGTGTTTAACAATAAGCCCAGAAACAATACTAAATGGTGTTTAACAATAAGTATAAAAACAATACTAAATGGTGTTTTACAATAAGTCCAGAAATAATACTAAATGGAGTTTAACCACTAACACTTTGTACAGAAACAATACTAAATGGAGTTTAACAATAAGTCCAGAAACAATACTAAATGGAGTTTAACCAATAACACTATGTACAGAAACAATACTAAATGGAGTTTAACAATAAGTCCATAAAAAATAACATAATGAGGTTAACAAAACATCCCTAAAAAAGGATTATCTTTGATAACACAGTCTGAATAGTAGGGACAAAATGGAGGACCACACTGGGAAGAAAAAGTCTTCCAGTTCTAACCAATATATAGTGTTAATAAATGAATTTCCTTGATACCCTACTCCTAACACAGAAGTGACAAAATCTTTTGATTATCAAATAATTGTATACACATTACCACTTAATTAAATGGCTACTCCTTTTGACAGACTTGTAATGGTTAATGTTTTAACAGTTTTCGAGCTATCCTCTGACAAAAAAATTGTATCAACAATAGCCACCTGTTAGTCTTAATAAGCAGCTAATACACCAATCCTTTACCCATCCTTTAGAGAAACACTGACCTGCAGAAGTCGACCAGGTTGATAAAGACTTGATGGTCTTTCGGCCTGTTGGGTTGTACTCCCTGTGTGGGATCACCAGTTACCCCGCCCTCCTCTAACATTTCCTCACTGGTCCCAGCCACACCCTCCGACTGAAACAAATGTATATCAATACACATACACTATGCTACACTACTGCAACGACTTTGACTTGAAATTAAAAAAAAAAAAACATTTTGCTGAATCTAAATTCAAATTGGAATGAAACTTCTTATATGTTATTGCTGAAGCATTTGAGATGCTGATAAAAATGGATTCCAACCTTTCTAGATTCTGTGAAAGATTTCTAGGGTGAAAAACTTCCCTTCATAGATATTAAATTTTAGCAACTCACTTGAGAGGAAAGCTCAGATGTTGAGGAAGATGTGAGATCAAGTTTGCCTAGAATCTTTAACACAGATGCAATCAGTTCATCGTACAGAACCTCTGTAAGGCGGTGTCGCACATCCAAACTAATGTCAGCTACTGAGAAATCCTACAACAAATATATTTATATTGTAAAATAACTTCTTTCAGTGAATCTTAATATGTCAAGTGGTTTTTTTTTTTTTTTTGGAGGGGGGGAGAGTTATTTTTAAAGTTATACCTGTTGTTTTACCACTATTATGTAGCACTTGAGAAAACAGTCTGAGAAAAGGTTCACGATTTTCTCCAAGATACTCTTACATTATAAAATTAAAGGTGTATTACGACCTTGACCCTGTAACATTAACAAACCTTCACAGCATTATGACCTTGACATTGTAACATTGCAAAATTGTCAGTGCACTTTGACCTTGATCCTGTTAAAATGTAAAATTATCAGTGCATTGTGACCTTCCCCCTGACATTCAAACATTGTAAGGTCATCAGTAGTTGGTCCACCTTTATCTTGGCACTGTTCAGAAGACCAGTCCACAATGCTATGTAATCTTTGTAGGTGATCTTTCTGACTAGGACACTTTCTGGCTGTGGGTTATTAGATTCTTCTGTCTGCTCAAGTTCTATCACAGGAGGGTGGGAGCAGGTCCGGATCAGACCCTGAAATACTACAACCCACATCACAATAAAGATATTTTCTGTAGAATTTGATCATTCTTGACGAAAAGAAGAAAACGGAGACCCTCTTTATCACAGATTTGTGACTAGAAACTTGGGAAAATCAAACTAATAAAACTTTATCCTTCTTAAACTTTTAAACATAAAAAGTTCGATAGAAAATCTATAAAAACTTTTTTAGAAAACAATATTCTTTTCGGAATACTTGACAGTTTCAGAAATATATCATGTATATCACTAGATTCTGATTAACTTCTATTAAAGAGACAAAAAGATTTATAGTTCTCCTTCAAAATAAAACCAATACCTGACAAATAAGGTCCTATGCTAAAATCAAGACTTTAGTAGTCATTAGTATCAGTCATTATAACCTTAACCACTTAACCACATATGACCTTCAGTTCCTTTACCAGATATAATATACCAGTATGAGTTATAATAACCTTAACCACTAAAACACACATGACCTTCAGTTCCTTTACCAGATATGATATACCAGTATCAGTCTTTATAACCTTAACCACTAAACCATACATGACCTTCAGTTCCTTTACCAGATATGATATACTAGTATCAGTCGTTATAACCTTAACCACTAAACCACATATGACCTTCAGTTCCTTTACCAGATATGATATACCAGTATCAGTCGTTATAACCTTAACCACTAAACCACATATGACCTTCAGTTCCTTTACCAGATATGATATACCAGTATCAGTCATAATAACCTTAACCACTAAACCACACATGACCTTCAGTTCCTTTACCAGATATGATATACCAGTATGAGTCATAATAACCTTAACCACTAAACCATACATGACCTTCAGTTCCTTTACCAGATATGATATACCAGCATCAGTCATAATAACCTTAACCACTTAACCACACATGACCTTCAGTTCCTTTACCAGATATGATATACCAGTATCCGTCATAATAACCTTAACCACTAAACCATACATGACCTTCAGTTCCTTTACCAGATATGATATACCAGTATGAGTCATAATAACCTTAACCACTAAACCATACATGACCTTCAGTTCCTTTACCAGATATGATATACCAGTATGAGTCATAATAACCTTAACCACTAAACCATACATGACCTTCAGTTCCTTTACCAGATATGATATACCAGTATGAGTCATAATAACCTTAACCACTAAACCATACATGACCTTCAGTTCCTTTACCAGATATGATATACCAGCATCAGTCATAATAACCTTAACCACTTAACCACACATGACCTTCAGTTCCTTTACCAGATATGATATACCAGTATCCGTCATAATAACCTTAACCACTAAACCACACATGACCTTCAGTTCCTTTACCAGATATGATATATCAGTATGAGTCATAATAACCTTAACCACTAAACCATACATGACCTTCAGTTCCTGTAATAGACATTACATAGCCATACCAAAAACTGACTTCTAGGTGAAGTCGAAGTTTCCTACACCAGACATGACCTCCGGCTCCTTTACCAGCCATGATATACCCTACCATAAACTGACTTTTAAGATTGGGTCCTACTTACCTACACCGGACATGATTTGCTGAAATGTTGTGCCTTTAGGCATCACAGCCAGAAGTAGCCATAGTATGGACTTCAGACAAATGAAGAAGTGAGTCTGTGGGAGTGACGGCAGCTTCTCTATCAACAGTACCAACAGTCGCTCGAGAGATATGGTATATGTCTCTGAAATCTGATACAAGAAAACAACATTTTAATTTAAATAGACTCTGCAAGGTCTCCAACGATCACAAAATATGTCATGTTTGGGTTCAAGATCTTGGACCCTGTATATTTGCAAAAACAATAACCCTGACTTCGGATGTATGTTTTTGTGGTATTGTTTACTGAATACCTGTTTCTAAACAATTCAATGAAAGCTGTAGAACAATGACGGACGTGTTACACCACATGCCATACATCTCCTGACCCATTCTTTTTGTAATCAGATGCAGGCCTAAACTCTTCATTGTCCCAATAGACTTCCCCTATTGATTTTTTCCCTTTGGTTGGTAAAGGTAAAAACTCCAAATTATACAACCCTAAAGAGCAACATCGCAATATTTGTGTAAGGGGAATTTTTACTCAATGATAATTTCTGTATAAAAGAAATTAATTCTTCCTACCTCATCCAACTGCTTGATGATGTTACCAAGGGCCTCCAGATAGCTAGGCAAATTAAAAAGCCTCTCTTCAAGGTTCTCATCTTGACTGTAACATATAATATTACATGTCATGTAAACAGGTCTCCAAGTAATCAGTGAGTTACTCCTACATACAAGTAACATAATAGTTCAAACTTATCATTGTAAAGGTCACAAACAAACAAAAAACTGAATTCTTTTCTTCCAGAATATGTTTTTCATCATCAATAAATTTTCAATTTCATCAGTGCAGCATAAGCACTTAACACAGCAATGACTATTAATAGGGAAGAATGTTCAAAACAAATATCAATCCATCATGGGGTTAGGAATTTTAGGTTCTTAACAGGTGTTGCAAGTATGACCTACAAAGGTTTGGCAAGTGTGATCTATAAAATAAAACAAGAGACCCACAGGCCTTAAGGGTCATCTGACTATAAAGGCCTATATATGAAAGAGGCAAAATAGGCCTAGTATAAATTGCTCAACTACACTACAGCTTACATAGAAGGCATTGGTTGGTTCATAAAGACATTTTCTGTATAAACCATATTCTTTATACATGCACTCCACAAATGCCATTATTCAAGACATATTGCTTGTTGAAAATATCAAGACCTTTGGCCTTTCGCTTATTAAGAAGTTGCTAATGCATTTTAACACATTGATAATTAATTTAAACAAACTTGGTAGCCCTTCATCCAAGCATGCTAAAGGCCTAATATCAGTAGCATGAACCTTTTGGTTATTGAAAGCATGTTTTTTAAAGATTTTAACATATTTTGATACCTTTCACCATGAAAGCAGGTCAAGGTTAAAATTTTAAGAAACTTGGAAGCCCTTCATTCCAGCATGCTACAGTATCAATATCAGTTACCTAGGTCATTTGGTTATTGAGAAGAAGTCTATTAAGAATTTTATCATATTTGCCCCGGTGACCTTAAAAATCGGCCAAGGTCATTCATATCAACAAACTTCATAGCACTTCGTCCCATCATACTACAGACCCAACAACAGTACCCTGAACCTTCTGGTTGTTGAGAAGAAGTCATTTGAATGGAAAGTTTACGCATGATAGACGGCGGATGACGATAGATGTAACACGATGGCTATAGGTCATTCTGACCCTTCGGTCAGATGACCTGATAAAAATGTCATCTATAGTACATAGTATCCATCTACATATACCTAGATCTTTGAGCAACATATATAACCTTTTCAATTTGACAACCATAACACATGTATTCATTCAATAATGGAATTATTTTTACAAAGTGATCAACAATTGGGAGAACACTTTTTAAATCAAATCTTAGATTTAAAATACTTGACAAGAAAATGACCATGATGTACCTGAGGAACTGCTGTTCACTTTTGGACATCATCTCACTAAACATAAACTGTACATCCACTTGCTTCAGAAATGTCTTGCATGGCTGCAATAAGAATAACATACATCCGTCCTTAAACTCCTACATAGAATATAATCTTAACACTAAATGATTGAAAACACAGAAGTACAAGAAGAGGCCTAGCAATATTGAAGGAGTTTGATATCAATATTTAACATCTCATTAACATAAAGAAATATAATACTACATTTGGTTCATATCGTGCAATAAAAAATTAATTTATTGTACAGAAACAAAGAAATAACTTATTGTAAAAATTTTAAAGTCCTGTAATTCTGGCAAACATTGACTGATTTTGACCAACATAAAACTAATAGTAGATCTTATTTATAAAATGCAATATAGCAAAATTTGGTTCATATTTGATGAAAAGATTCAGTTATTCGAACAAAACCCTAAGACAGGCAAATAGGCAGAAAGACAGACCCATTATCTTCAATCTTGGGGGCATAAAAACTTCCATTTTTGTAAAAGTATTCATGAATATTCAGCTTTCATTTGATAGAGTGAAAGGGGATATATACACATTGTATACCTACATATTCTATCCTTGAATATATTACAAAAATACTAAAAGTTTACAAAATTTTACTCAAACATCCTTTTGCAAAATATATAATTACTAAACTCATTACTTTATTTATACCTACAGCTGCAAGGAGACCATACCCACGTATGGCCAAAGACACTTCCTTGGCACTGGCTGATGCATCATTCATCAGAGTACGAAACTCCTGTATGAAGAACTAAAAACAAAAAGACACAGACTAACACAATCAAAGACCAAATTTCAGTACAACTTTTTTCCGGTCGCTATACCGCTGTCATACATTAACAATTGTGCAAAATGTACGGCTATGTTTTTCTTTCTGAAATGCTTGCATAAGGTGAACTGTTTATTTTTGTCTCAGTTTGCGAGAATTCATACGATAAGATCATGACATATTAACTTATAATAAATCGATAACTGTTACTTATAGAATAGAAGTTCCTTTTAACACACCCAGTAGGAGATTTGAGTGAAATGTTTTGATATCTACTGTTACCTTCATCAGACAAGTAACCAGTATGGAGTGAACTAAGACTGACGTACGTAGTGTACAAGATGGTAAGGTATCAATCAACTTTTTTTAATGTATTATGATCCTATGTACACTAAGGTCAAAAACAGTGTGATGAGATGGTTAACAGATTATAGAGTGGCTATGCTTTGTTTAGCACTTGGTCATAGTGTCCAAAATCTGGTAATTTTACACATGATCCCAAGAACAATACTACAGGTTTTTATAAAGACCAATAATGATTAAGTTTTTTATTTCTTCTTCCAATTGTACTTTTTCTGCCAACCACTGTCAGATAATACTTCTTTTACAATTATACCAGAATAAATTCAAATATCTGACCTTGAAGACAGCTCCATCCTTGTGACCTTCCTCAGCTCGTGTCACCAGCATCTCTGATATCTATCAAAAAACATGCATTAAATATAGCGATATTGAGGCCATATTAGTGTTTAGATAACTGATTCATACTTACATTGTAAAACGAATTTGATCTACATATAAGCTGATTGTTAAACAAGAATAACAATATTATCTGACAATTTAAAACGAGAGTATAAAAACAAAAATTGTATACAAGGATATAATGCAGACCTACCTGTCCCAAGAAAGCCTCAATAGCAGACAGACCCAAGTGTAACATGTCACGATTGTGATGGTGGCTCCAGTAACGCAGCTTATCATACATACCCTGTCAAAGGAATTACTGAGGTCACTTCTTATTCTCTTTATTACCAGAAGAAACACTTCATAATCATTGTTGCCATCATCATATTACATACCCTATATTGTCATCATCCTATGTCTTGATATCTTTCTAATATTGTTTATGAGATCAAGACTGAAATTTATACCACACTACTTCCCTAATATTCCTCTCTGTACCAAACAACCTCCCCAATATTCCTCTCTGTACTAAACAACCTCCCCAATATTCCTCTCTGTACCACACTACCTCCCCAGTAGTCCTCTCTGTACCACACTACCTCCCCAGTAGTCCTCTCTGTACCACACTACCTCTCCAGTAGTCCTCTCTGTACCACACTACCTCCCCAGTAGTCCTCTCTGTACCACACTACCTCCCCAGTAGTCCTCTCTGTACCACACTACCTCCCCAGTAGTCCTCTCTGTATCACACTACCTCCCCAGTAGTCCTCTCTGTACCACACTACCTCCCCACTAATCCTCTCTGTACCACACTACCTCCCCACTAGTCCTCTCTGTATCACACTACCTCCCCAGTAGTCCTCTCTGTACCACACTACCTCCCCAGTAGTCCTCTCTGTACCACACTACCGCCCCAATATTTCTCTATGTATCACACTTCCTACACAGTAGTCCCTTTAGTACCACATTACTTACCTGGTAGTCCTCTATGAGATACAGACTGAACTGTGCTGCATGCTTGGTTAACAACCTCAAACCAGCGCCTGGCACCTGGTAACGAGTATACTCCACCTTTGGGTCTATGGCCATCCGTGCGTACTTAAATATTTCGTATAACTGTTTTGACCCTGTAATATATCATTTCAAAGATTCATGTAGTATCAAGTATACATGGATCAAGTAATTTATATATTACAACTTTTCTGTGTCCTTAAAGTGTAGATTTCATAGAGAAATATTACCATTAAGTCAATCATTGCTGAAACATTTTTCTTATGTTACTACTTACTGTCATCCGCAGACTGGGTAAAGTTCACCAAACAGGAAGTCAGACCAGACAGGCTGCCTGCTATGATGGATAATTCCGCCTTCCTAGTTTTGGCAGTCATCTGACATCAAACATTTCATTTAAAATATCCACAAAAAACAAGATGGCTCATTGGCTGTATTGTCATTAAACTGAGAATACGCAGCTTAAAGTTCCTATAATTCTTTTAATTTTTTAATCAATTTTCATAACATTACTGTTCAAACAATATTATGGTGTTCTTGTAATAAATTTGTGATTCTTGTGACCTTGACAAGGTCAAGAAAATTAACCCTTTTATAAGGTAAGTTTCCTTTTATAGGTGTTAATGTCTGGTTCTATCATTGTCACCTAAAACATAATCTACCATTGTGTTTACCTTCAATTATGAATGAGAACCTTTTGTGAAGATAAATGTCACATCCAGTAATCAATTACCCAGAAAGGTACATCAAAGACACACAGATTCCATTGACATTTATTATAAAGTTTAACAGCAGGAACAAAAAAGATACATGTCTTCACATGATGGATCTATGTCAGAAAGGTCAGTCGAAGGTCAAATACAATCAAGGTAATGATTCACACTTTGAACTTATATTGAAGGTCACTTTGTGATGAAATCATGCACACTTAAGTATAAAACTATTGAAGAATAAAAGCAACACATGTGTACAATCCAAATTCTTTTTTCTTGTTTCAGTCAAAACCTGCATGAACTTTTTTAATGTCATTGTAATCAGTAATAATTCAAATGTAACTTTTAACTAAATCAAAAATTTCAATCAAAATTTCTTGAATATTCATTCATACATACATAATGATGACTCTGGTGATTAGATTACCTCAGTTTTCAATGATGTAACACACAGCCCTATGAACCTTTCAGCATAGCTTGCCATGTGTTCCGGGTATACCTCAGCTACCACACCAAGTAACACAAATATGTTCTCCTTCACTGAAAATTAAAACCTCACGCTATGTAAACATCCTAACTATTCATTTGCTTCATAAAATTTACAGAAATATTGAACAGTTTTAATGTCACTTTTTAAAACATTCAAGAGTTGCTGACATGCGGGATTCAGATCTTAAGTATTTATATATTTACCTGTGGAAGACACCTTTGATCCTTTAGTGAGCTCCATGAAAAATTTTTCTATTAGTTTAGGGATGTTGAGATCCTTTCCAATATTAGTCCCAGCTGTCACCTCAATTAACTGAAAGATAATACACATCATTCTCTAATTTTTTCTGTCTAAACTGACAATTTGAAGACAATAATTATCATTAAGCAATTTACAAAGTCACATAAGACATCTTAAAATTTGGCATGCACAACTAGGACACATCATCAACTAGATTATAAAGTTTACTTCACAAAAGAGAAACAAAAGATGTTTATGGGAGGGAGTGATGAACATACTAAAAAAATTAAAATTAAAAAATTGTTTAGAAAAACCCACCATCAACCGATTAGAATAGCTAAATATCCTTAAACAAATTTAACTCTTAAGTACATAATTACAAGTCACCTTAGCCAAAACCGGGATGGCGCCGTTCTTGACTTTGGCAAATCGATCACGAAAAAACAAAGAGACACACACATCCTGTCAACAAAGAAATATGCAGTTGATAATTAGTATCACAGAAATAATGTTATAACCAAATCAATCTATCCATCAATACAATCAAAATACTTGTTACCTCCCTTATACAGATCCATCAAGTCAAAAAATCAAGATTTACACTTGTGTTACATAGTCTCTAGATGGAGCTCACCCACCTCAACATGTGAGAATTTTTCAATATTTATGCATAATGACTAGGATTACACAAGAGTATACAGTCTTGTTAATACTGAAACTGATTGTAACTCTGCAGCATTTGCTTATACCCTAAATATTGTACAGACATTGTTTAAATGAGAAGAGACATTAAGATATCTAGAAGTAATGTTACATAATATGTGTATTCTTAAATAGTAATGAAAATTTGATATCATTTTATTCTTGATCAGTTTTATAAACATTGTTAATGATGCCCAAGTGGCACCACCTACAGCTTCCACTATCATATGGCAGTTCAATTGATCTAGCTGCTGTTCTGACCAAGTGTATAAGGTAATTTGTTTATTAATGTTTCTTTGAAAATCTGTGACTATCAAATGTAAATTTAAGCAATATGTAGTTACCTAGATGTAAATTCTGATACATGTACAGGAAGGAAAAACAATCTTAAAATTACTCTCCAAACACACTGAAATGACAGTATAATTCTATATTTTGTAACTCATGTACTTTTATCTATTGTATATTTGCTGTATACCTTAATGTCCACAGCGTAAGGCAGGATTTTTTTCTCAGTCTTTTGTATAAATCCAGACAACAGCTCCAGTAGCTTTTGTTTACAGCCCAGGAACTGATGAGAAACAAAATCTCACATGATTATTACAGCCCAGGCACTCATAACAAAATCAGATCAAGCATCAACATATTACAACTAAGAAACTGATGATAAAAAAATTGTCAATGGCGTTGTTGTTGTCATATATTTTTGGGTGGTGACCACCTGATTATCTCTATCATACATCACCCATACTGTCTATAATAACACTCAGCGAGAAGCTCAGACAACCACAAAAATGGTATTAACTAAGTCTCTCTGTTTCTTACAATCCTAATCTTCAAATCTTCAAGTACACCACTGACCATTCACTTAAGCACTTTTAAAAAGAATCCTGTGTTAGAATATATATTTCACACTCCACCATTACTTCTCAGCTACAACAAAACAGACATATACAATGTTTATGTACCAGGCATGTATACTTAACTTCAGCTTTGAATAGAAACTTTATACTGATAAAATATTAAGGTACCTACCTCATCTTTGTTGAATGTCTTGTTCAGAAACGCTACAATGCCTTTGTCTTTGTCAAACAAAGCTGAACAGCAGAGATCTGAAAAACCCAAATCAAAAGCAGTTTTCCAATAATCATTTTAAAACATTTTTTGTGCACTTATAAAAACTTCTAAATTCCCTTGCCAAAGTATACAGAAATAGTGGATGCACATTACAAATACTTATTAGTTCTCAAGTTGTTATTTTGTAGTGTGTATTTATATATCATAGATGTGTAAACAGGACAGGGATGTCAAAATTCCTTCTTTTTACACACATTTCCAAAACTCAACCCGAGAACAACATCAGAAGGATTTCATAGGGAGACTTTGTGAAAGAAAATGGAAAAATAGTTCCATTGTGTATATGAGTATATGTAAAAGCCACACAGACAGAACTAGTGTTATGTTGTACAAGTACTACCAGCATTACAATATATGTTATCTCCTTTCAGACACTTATCATTCCATTGCATTTCCTCAATGATCATTATTGCAATGTCCAAAATATCAATATAATATTTAAGAAAACTCTTTTGACAAACCAATTTAAGGACGGAAGAAACCTGAAAATGACATTTAGCCAAACAGACTGGGTCAGTTGTCAGTGACCAAGTAGCTCAATTGGTAAAGTGCCCTTTGAGAATTTGGAGAGTCGAAGGTTAGAACCCAGTCTAGCCGTGCATTTTTCCATTCTGTTACAGAACATTCATTAATGTCGTTTACAAGCTCAACAAACAATGTAAGTTCTGTTCAACTTTTACAACGACTTGTAGAAAGGACAATGTTGTTTAGGACATTTAGGGAAAGCACTGGACATAGTGTGCATCTCCAATCCATGATATGGGGTGAAAGTTGTCTGTAGCTCATCCTTGAGTGCACTTGTTATGACAGTCATACTGCCAGGCAATTCACATAACCAGTCAAACACTTGTTCTCTTCATTTCAATGCAACTCCATTAGTTAGTCTTGTTAATCTTGATAATTCAACATTTTGGCTAACTATGGAAATACACAGGTGGAGGAGCGCCTTCATCATGTTAAATTGCAACACCATTGTGTATGTTTTAGAATGTATGTACCAAACTCGGCCAAATACAACATTCCATGAAAGATAAACCCGCTCTATGTAATCGTGTGTCAACGTGCATCTAAAGCTATAACAACGATCACTTGTATAGAATGTGTATACCTAGTGTTAGAGACCAAGAACTCATAACTATACGACACGACCCTGAATTCGCTTAGCTTGCACATCGATATAAAACCAGCTGATAAACAAACTATGAGCCGAAATGTCGGATAAACAATCATGACAAGTACCAATTTCTTTATCGTCGATTTCATGAAGACATAATTGACTTATGTCTGAAATGATCCCATCGCTCTGCTCCAATGACGAGGAATCGCCGGCTGTCAAGCACTTGTGGAGAGATCGCAAGTTGTTCTCCAGCAGGCTTGCCGCCATATTAACCATACAAACCAAAACAAAGTCACGTGAGAATAGTCAAGGGATGTAACTCCTCATGAAATACTGATACTTTCACTGACGAGCGTGCTTCACCATGGCCCATTCAAGCAGAGACGTGTATTGTAGAGACCAATGTCTCATCTTAAGAAATCTGTATTTTAACCTAACAATTGTATGTTGACAACACTTTTTAGACCATAATCCGGTACTGTAGTCCACGAGTACTTGTGGACATGTTTTTTTTCAGTTCTTTAAATACATGGACTCAATATACATGTATATCATTCGTCCCTGATAAGTATCATGGTAAGACTACGTGATATATAATTTCTATGTGCTTTGGAAATCAAGCATCTGGATCTTATAACAAGATTTATTTTCCTGTTATTTACCATGTTTAAAACAAAACAAAATAAACCAAAAAACAAAAAATGCCCACAAGCACCTGTTACTGAAAACAATTACATTTTGTATACCATCCGGCGTGTCAAAATAAATCTCGCTTAAAAGTCAAAATCTATGGGACGAGGGCAAACTTTGAACAAAAGAAAGATTTACTCAGAGACAATCGAAAAAATACAAGAACAATAGGACAAAGTGTTTTGGAAGGACACGAACTTAGTTACTTATTGTTATGTAAGATCGATTCAATGTGAAAAATCCGCGCAAACAGATGTATCATTCAATTATACATACTTTTCTAAACGGTTGCATTTAAATGTGTTTTCCTGATTTATGGAAATTTGGGGTAGGGAAGAAATATCAGTAAACATTTGATTTTGGGTATAATTAGAGCCCTAACTAATTGAAATTAAATGTGTTTTTCTGGTTTAGGGAAATAAGGGTTTGCGAAGAATTTCAGTTAATATATCAATTTTGGCTTTATTTAAAGGAGACAGGACTACATGATTGAAAGCAAATGTGTTTTCATAATTTTGGTGTACTGGATAAATACTGTATACTGGCAATGTTCTCCGTCTTTCTTCCTACTCTCCTTATCTTTATTCCATCTTTCTACATCGTACACTATTCCGCATGTTCTCAGAAGTGTATATTTATCCCTTAAGCCCTTTTCCTATTAAGATAGTATCCCCATAATCCCCCTGCCCACACTAAAAGACATTCCCACCGCCCAGCCGCACCAAAACCACATAAGAAAGGTATCCCCCTACCCCGTTCGGAAATTCTCATGGAAGCCTACCCTTTTTTTGAATGAAGAATATTTACGTTTATATACCCGAATCCGCGTTTAAGTATAATTTTATTTGCTCCCGAGAAGTTTTGTTTACGACTTTCTACAAAACAGTTTTTATTTGATTAACTGTACACTTGGCCAAACCTTAGGGATCACCCTTATCCTAGATTGGAATTAATTCTCTTCCCTGTATTTAAGATGTTCCATTTTGACAATTAAGGATATATAGGATGTATAGGAACGTGTTGTATCTAACAAGACTTTACAGAACCGGAAGTGCTGAATCATTTTGGAAGTGTTGAATCATTATAAAAAAATCGTGCTCAAATACTAAAAATGTATGCATTTAACTCTCCCTTATGAACAGGTCATCAAATCACCAAAATACGTTACTTGTTCAAGAGGATTCGCTTAACAACGAGTTCTACAGGTATGTCAGTATTTAGTGTAGTCACCACGCTACCGGTACAGTTGTTGTGACCGTCGTCTCATGCTACTGACGAGACGACGAAACTTATTCTGAGGAAACCACTGCCATTCCTGATCCCATGCGGCCCGTAATTCTCCAATTGTTTGGCGTTCTTGATACCATTCATTAACTTTTTGTCCGATATAGTCCCACATAAGCTCATTTGGGTTCATGTCTGTGACATTGTTAACCATGGGATCGTCTCTATCACTTCTTGTTGAAGGTAGTCTTGGACAAGGTGGGTTCTGTGTGGTATAGCATTGCCATCAATTAGAATAGGCCGATCTGTCAATCGATGGCCATCGAAATGCGGGAAAATTTAAGGTAGAAGGATTTTACCAAGGTACTTTTGCTCGTTAAAAGTTCCATGAAGGGCATGCAAGCAAAGTATGCAGTCTAGAGAATAACATCCCCAAACAGTACCATTGCCACCACCAAATGATGATGTGTCCAAAAATCTTATTCTGATGGTGTGCTGTTGTTCTTGTTCTCCAAACACAGACCCTGCCGTCTGTCAGACTAAGTGAAAAGCGGTTTTAATCAGATCAGTGGACTTTCCTCCAAGACCTAATATTTCATGTTCGATGATAACTTGAAAGTACCCACTGCAGTCTTGTGTGTTTTGCCTTCCAGTCAAGGACTGTTTACAGGGCGATGTCGTCTGTTGTTCATTTACGTGCCACTGCCCCAGAGTCTGTCGGCAGTAGAGAAGAGGGCTCGACTTGCCTGTTCTTTTGAGGTTTACAAGGCACGAGACGCTCGTTAACATACCCATTAACCGAGAAATAACAGAATGGTTGACATCACACGTAAAACGTGTAGCTACGTGCTGGTATACAAGTCACAACACCTAAAACCATTCCATAGGCTTGCCATCTTTCAGCAACCGTCAATTTTCGACGTCCAATTTTTAATTACAGTTATGGGCACGTGTATGATTAATCAGAAATACATGTGCAAACGCTGCATTAGGTGACAAAGCAAACTTGTGTTTTGTAAGAATACAAGGTACATCATTTTAGTCCGAGTTATTGTTCAATTGGATGTATCGTTTGTGGCATACGGCACCAAACTCAAAAAGAGACATTGCAAGAAGTACGAACAGGTTTTATTTTTTGAAAAGAAAAAATCAGTTTTGCTTGAAATGTTCATACTGAAATTGATAGCTCCTGACGTAAGGCTAAGTGCATCATTTGAACAGCTAAACTGTGTGGCCTATTTCTATCAAGAATCTACCTGCTACGAGACATTCACAGAATCTGATAATAATATACATCTACACGATATCCACAGAGATCGAGACCCGAGAAAATGACATACACACTATCAATGGAGAATGATAAAAACGAAATCCACAAAGAAAGATACACACGCTATCCCCAGAGAACAGATATCCAAAGAGAACGATATCTACGGGCAATGGTATACACGACATACACGGGCAATGGTATACACGACATACAGGGGCAATGGTATACACGACATACACGGGCAATGATATACACGACATACACGGGCAATGGTATACACGACATACACGGAGAAAGATACACACGTTATCCCCAGAGAACAGATATCCAAAGAGAATGATATCCACGGGCAATGGTATACACGACATACACGGAGAAAGATATGCACGATATCCAAAGGGAATGAGATACACGACATACACGGGCAATGGTATACACAACATACACGGGTGAATGATATACATGGTAGCTGCGGAGAACGATATAAACGATATTCATGGATAATGATACACGATATCCACGTAGAATGATTCCCACTCATGCATGATACATGAAGTTCAGATACATTTATTTGACCATTTTACAGCATTAGTTTACATCTATCTATAGTTAACCTGAACAAGTTTGAAACCATTCACTACCTTTGAAACTTTTTCTGTCAATGTGAGATTTCCATAGTTTTGTTATGTCGATAATGAAATAGAAGAAAACTATGGTTATTTTGTAGATGCAACGTGTAACGTAATGGGAAATGTCAGGTAACGGCAGTGTTCATAGTTTAATCTGGTTATATATATATATAAATATGATATCAGGTCTCTCTCTGTTTTTATATTAAGAACAGAAATTGACTTGTTTACCGCCTTAAGCTATATATTTAATGTGTCATAGTATGGATAAGTAATGATTGTGTCAGTTTTCTGTTTCTTTACAGATTGTCTTGTTACATAACATGACCACGCCACTGTGTTGTGGTTAACCTGCCTCCCCCTTCCTCCTCCGTAAAATCGATCGACTTGTGTCGTCCTTTCACTTTCCTCGTCCATCATTCCTACAACATCACTACTGACAACTGTGCACGCGCTGTCCACTCCAATGGCATCAAGATGCAGATCGTTTGATGAATAGACTTTACACACTTAATAAACGGTGTGTATCAATCTCCACTGCTTCACCAATCATAGATAGCTAGGGTTAAGATTCAGATAAATAACTTCTTATGAATGTCCGTATTGACTTGTCTTCCACACGTTTGATCGGTAACTTATTGCTACGGAGTCAAAACACATAGTAAATTATAGCAGAATTTTTACTTCCCTCGCTTCATTACGTGAACCAATAACACATCTCAATATATTGGAGTCATCTATCATCGGAATGGAAAACAAAACAAAACAAAAAGTCACGAACCATTTTTTTCGTATATCAACCACATGTGATATGTCTTTCTATGAATTGCAAAACAGTGACATGAATGCTATAAAAAGATAAAGCGACCGACTATCGTACTCCTGTATAGTTAATGATGAAGGTCATGTGGTAGATTGCTTTACTCCTGTATAGTGGAGGATGTAAGTCATGTGACAGACTGTTGTACTCCTGTATAGTTAATGATGAAAGTCATGTGGTAGATTGCTTTACTCCTGTATAGTGGAGGATGTAAGTCATGTGACAGACTGTTGTACTCCTGTATAGTTAATGATGAAAGTCATGTGGTAGATTGCTTTACTCCTGTATAGTTAATGATGAAGGTCATGTGACAGACTCTTGTACTCCTATATAGTTAATGATGAAAGTCATGTGACAGACTGTTGTACTCCTGTATAGTTAATGATGAAGGTCATGTGACAGACTGTTGTACTCCTGTATAGTGGAGGATGTAAGTCATGTGACAGACTGTTGTTCTCCTATATAGTTAATGATGAAAGTCATGTGACAGACTGATGTACTCTGGTATATTTAATGATGTAAGTCATGTGACAGACTGTTGTACTCCTGTATAGTGAATGATGAAAGTCATGTGACAGACTGTTGTACTCCTGTATAGTTAATGATGAAGTCATGTGACAGACTGTTGTACTCC